GAAATCAAGGTCAGATTAAAGGGACTGTTTAGTCCCTACATAAACCCAGAAATCAAGGTCAGATTAAAGGGACTGTTTAGTCCCTACATAAACCCAGAAATCAAGGTCAGATTAAAGGGACTGTTTAGTCTCTATATAAACCCAGAAATCATGGTCAGATTAAAGGGATTGTTAAGTCCCTACATAAACCCTGAAATCAAGGTCAGATTAAAGGAACTGTTTAGTCCCTACATATACCCAGAAATCAAGGTCAGATTAAAGGGATTGTTAAGTTCCTACATAAACCCTGAAATCAAGGTCAGATTAATGGACTGTTTAGTCCCTACATATACCCAGAAATCAAGGTCAGATTAAAGGGAGAAAAAAGTGCTTTTGATCGCTACTAATCTTACTTCTATCTGTTGTGTCTATAAGGAGAAAATTGTTAAAAACGACTCACACCGAAGAACGTAGTACAGTGTCCATACAAATTCAGAAAGATGCAACATTCAACTCGGATCGTAAACAAATCAATTTAATTCCAAGCAAATCATTCAGATATTACAAACAAAAGTCATCGATTATTTTTCGACGCATTCGTAAATAGTGGATATTTTATAATATTTTGTTTTTTTCATGATCTGAGAGTTACTTTTGAAAACATTTATTCCTGTTTCGAGGATTTTTGATAATGAAGACGACATTTTCATGTTCGAAAATCCAGCGCCAGCGAAAAATTATTTAAAAAAACAAAATCAAAAATATTATGAAATATTAACTATATACGAATGCGTCAAAAATTATCGTTGACTACTGTTTGTAATATCTGAATGATTTGTTTACGATCCGAGTTGAATGGTCGCTGCGTTCTTCGGTATTAGTCGTTTTTAAAAAATTTCTCCTTATAGACGCAACAGATAGAAGTAAGATTAGTAGCGATGAAAAGCGCTTTTTTATCGCATTAAGCCAATACCCCCTTTCATTTTTCGCGAACACTCCCTTTAAGACCCAGAAAAATGACGATATCTTCCAAAAAAATTTTTATCAGATTATGGTTTCAAGGATAGCGTTTTAAATTGGGCATTAGTTTAACTCATTAAATGAAACCCTGTTCAAAAAGGTTCAACATTTTCTTATCCAACATGTTTGGGACTTCACGGGATTAAATTAATCTGTAGATTAACAAAAATTACGATAAAGCATTGATATCCACATTTCTATAGTTTCCACTTCCTCTGGTTATAACTCACATACAGGGTGTCCCAATAAACATGGGAATTCAGTAATACCCTATGTCAAGACATATAATAATTTGGTCTGCTGGAGCAATTTTACGTAAACTTTAATAAAAGGCTGTATTATTATACTATGTCTCAACACTAAAACTAAAAATTTGTATTATTTTTCTGATATTTATTACTACAAAGACATTGGTACAATCCTTGTCCTACCAACACGATTTTTGTTGTGAAATTTTGAATTTGTACAGATAAGTTTGCCAGCCACAGATAAAGTTGTGCGCTATTATTGCGCAATTGGAAATTGAAATCTTAATTCTAAAAACATAAATAATTTAATTTACTTTAGACTGCTACAAACTGGATTCCGTTTTTGGCCATTTTGCTGCAGTGTACAGGATACGGATTAGGATATGGTGTCATAGTTTTCAATTTACAAGGTTCAAAATTAAATTATTAATTTTATATAGATTTTAATATATATGTTTATCCAACTGACCCTCCATTAAGTTACATATTTGATTCACAACGGTACCCTCTAAAAGCTTGATCGGATCAAGAAAAAATGACTTAAATGCTAGAGTTATATTCAATTGTGGTTTCCTAATAAAAGAGACTAGCAGATTTCTAGCTACAAAACAATAGAGGAAGTTATATAATTTAACACCAAACTAGAAAAATAACAATAGCTTCCTCATTATTGATGAGATATTGGGTTAAAGGGTACTGTAGTGATAACCCTTTATTAATAACGGGTCCCTGATTTTTCATGACAAATATCAAATTTTTCAGGAGAAATACTGCCATCTGACATGAGAAGCTTCGGTTCTGGTTTACTGGGTATTTTTGATAACATTTCACTCTTTATTGCTCTGAAAACAGTTCCGTTGATGATTGATAGGTTGGTCGCGACATAGAAATTTTAGTCAAAAAAATAAAAATTTAAATAAAAAAGCAATGAAAAAAATTATAATGAAATAATTAACTCAAAACATTAATATTCTTTTAGTATTGGAGTTGGAGGAATGTTTTCAACCTATTTTGGTTTTGTTATTTTAACTTTAATAACAGCATACTTCATCATGCCAGAAACCAAGGTAATGCATTTCAATGTTTATTGTATAATCTTTAAAATTGTTTTATTATTACAAGAGAAGAAAGTTTCAAATCGTGGTTTAGCTCAAACCTGACACTTAGTGTCAGGTTTAGAACATAAGCATGAATTGAAACTTCCTTCCCCTGTATTATCATTATGTTTTTCTATTGATCTGTGTACACTGCATACACAGTACGTACACTACACAGTTGCTGTGCTTTCTGTACAAAGAACTATTAAAAACCATTAGCTGAGCCTATCAGTCGTCTTTCTATTCCATATTTTTACGAGTCTCACTGTATATTAAACTTTTTTAAAATTCCAGGGGCTAAGTTTAGAGGAGATAGAAGACATGTATCAACCGAAGAAGAAATAGAAGAAACGAGTTGACCCTCCAATTTAAGATGGCAATGCTCGATTTACAATGGTACCCTTGACAAAATTATCTGATAAATAAAGTGGAAGATATTATTGTTTTTCTAGGTTTTGATAATCACTATATGTGCTCCTGCTGTAGAAATGCGCAAATCACTTTTGTAACAAAACCACAATTAATAATAATTAGTTTTTGAAATATTAGACATTGATATCTAATTCATACTTGATCCGACGAAACCTTTAAGAGTATAGTTCCTATTTTCTCCAGAGATAAGAGAGTTACAGCGATCGATTGAAACCTATGATATGCGATATTTCCCCCAGCATGTTCTGTTGTGTACAAGTAGTGTACACAACCAAACATCTGTATTCAGGGATATTTAAGGATCCTTTGGATATGAAACACAAAATCTTCAAAAATAGACTGAATTCATAAATGCTATGTTTCATGTTTAAAATTGGAGAATTTCTTTAAAGGTTATAAAACTTAACCCCTGAATGAGTATTATATTCAACAAGTGGCCGTGAGATGGCACTGTTAAAAACCTATCGTAAAAACGTAGCATGTCGTGCTGGGTCAACTATAGTCCTACGTAGCCCACCCTGTGAACGAATATAAGCAGTCTGTGTAGTCTGTGGTTTTAAATCCAAACAATCAACATTAAAACTCTAGTTATCAAATAAATTGATCGTTGTAGGTACTAATGGTGGGAAAATAACGACAGGGTTATAAACGTCTAAATTTTGTTTTTAATCAGTAATAGGATAGGATACTATCCTGCTAAAACAAAGCTAAAATTGTGATTTTGTTACGCATCTCATTTGTATGAAAAATGCCACATATTTTAAAACAAAATTTGTTAGATGTCATTAAGTATAGTTTTGTAATAGTCTAAAGCAGAATTTTAGGCCAGTAACGTGAGCAAGGCCTTAAAAAACCTTGGTTTTAAGTAGCCAAATGTTTTTAAGCCAATTACATTGCAATCTGTTTGAAGATAAAGTGTATCTAGAATAAACAAAGTTATGCATTTCTAACGGCAAATTAGGTAAAAAACGCAAGTTTTTGGTGATGGACATGCTTAAAAAATCTTCTTAAATTATAGGAATGACGACATCCTATGGCTTTTTATTCAACGAAATTGAGGCTTGCTTGGTTTTGCGTATCAATCCCAAAGCCTACTCTTTATATTACGAAGCTCTTTGGACGAATCTATCTCTATCATAGAAGCATGGAATTTTAATCATTTATTTAATCATCGTCTCTTGGTATATATGATGTAGAGTATATAGGGTAACAAATAAAATAATGTCCTAAATAATGGAATGAAGAGCAGATTTTTTGTTGTCTTTGCTGTTTTGATTCTGTCAAATCAGCTTAAAGCAAAAATATAAACCTAAAATATAATTTATTATCGGAATTTTTAAAACCATTGTGACACTATTTATCTTAACATTTTTACAGTATTAATATAATTTAGACATTCGCCCCCCCCCCCCAATTTTGGAATCGATATAAAAAATGAATACTTGAAATAAAAAAATGTGTAATAAACTATATTTTTATGCATTACTTGACACACAGTGACATCAAAAGTTTAATCAAATTTTTTTTTTAATTTGTTTATTAGCTGTTGGGATATGTGTATGAGTTAAACCATGATTTAGATTATAAATGGTGCCTGAAACCTCTAAAAGAAACTGCAATTTCCGTCCTAAAATGAGCAGTAATTTCCAATCGAAAGAAATTTCGTACATAAACAACAATTTTATAATTCACGCAAATTTTTGTATTGGATATATTCCCAAATAATCTTCTCCATTTAGTTCGGTACTTCCAACTGTTCTCCATCTCCACTGAATTCTCCATTCAATTCTGGGTCTCCATTTAGTCCTGGTTCTCCACTCAGCTCTCGTTCTCCGCTGAAATCATAAACCTCGGATCCTTCAGTAACTGGAGCAAATCTTTCAACATCTTCTCCTTGGTGGGTGGAGGGGGTAACCAGGATATCCACCCAGAATGTTCTGTAATCCTAAAATAATGATGATTATAAAAAAGTACAAGTTTGCCATAATTTCAATATAATGTTTATGGTATTCTGAAAGCTGATGAAAACAATTACTCAATATGCCCAGGATATTATGATAAGGAACAGTTTAAAACCCATTTATAGATTTTCATGTTTAACCCAGACCTTGTAGCCATCGAAAAGAAATTATAAAATGTCGTCTTCTTAACCTACTGATAATGGAATGCAACAGATGATTAGTTTTTTAATTTGATAATTAGATGAAACTCTTTATGAAAGTTTCCGCATATTTCATGGCTATTTTTATTCATTTTTACAATAGCTAAGATTTAGGTGTACAATATGTATTCTAAAGTATATTTCCTTCAGCTGGAATATACCTGGACAATATGTATTCTGAAGTATATTTCCTTCAGCTAGAATATACCTGGACAATATGTATTCTGAAGTATATTTCCTTCAGCTGGAATATACCTGGACAATATGTATTCTGAAGTATATTTCCTTCAGCTGGAATATACCTGAACAATATGTATTCTGAAGTATATTTCCTTCAGCTTGAATATACCTGGACAATATGTATTCTGAAGTATATTTCCTTCAGCTAGTACACTTGGACAATATGTATTCTGAAGTATATTTCCTTCAGCTAGTATACCTGGACAATATGTATTCTGAAGTATATTTCCTTCAGCTAGTATACCTGGACAATATGTATTCTAAAGTATATTTCCTTCAGCTAGTATACCTGGACAATATGTATTCCAAAGTATATTATCTTCAGCTGGAATATACCTGGACAATATGTATTCTGAAGTATATTTCCTTCAGCTGGGATATACCTGGACAATGTGTATTCTTAAGTATATTTCCTTCAGCTGGAGTATACCTGGACAATATGTATTCTGAAGTATATTTCCTTCAGTTGTAATATACCTGGACAATATGTATTCTGAAGTATATTTCCTTCAGCTGGAATATACCTGGACAATATGTATTCTGAAGTATATTTCCTTCAGCTGGAATATACCTGGACAATATGTATTCTGAAGTATATTTCCTTCAGCTAGAATATACCTGGACAATATGTATTCTGAAGTATATTTCCTTCAGCTGGAGTATACCTGGACAATATGTATTCTAAAGTATATTTCCTTCAGCTGGAATATACCTGGACAATATGTATTCTGAAAGATGGTTCTTCGGTGGCTCCTTCAGCTGGAGTAAACTCCCATTCACTCTTCTTCTTCTCTAGGTTCTCCTCGCCACTCCATGACTGAACAAGAAACATGCAGGAATTTAGAAGCGTCTGTTATCATGTGGCATTTACATTTTATTCTAAAAGTACACATTTTATTTTAATACAAAATATTATTTAATTTAAGATAAATAAAATAAAGATATTACCACTGTATGTAAAAAATAAATATATTACCACAGTATGTATAAAATAAAGATATTACCACAGTATGTATAAAATAAAAATATAGCCACAGTTTGTAAAAAATAAAGATATTATCACAGTATGTGTAAAATAAAGATATTACCATAGTATGTATAAAATAAAGATATTACCACAGTATGTATAAAATAAAGATATTACCACAGTATGTATAAAATAGAGATATTACCACAGTATTTAATATCTTTATTTTATTCATACTGTGGTAATATCTTTATTTTATAGTGGTAATATCTTTATTTTATAAATACTGTGGTAATATCCTTATTTTATACATACTATGGTAATATCTTTATTTTATACATACCGTGGTAATATCTTTATTTTATAAATACTGTGGTAATATCTTTATTTTATAAATACCGTGGTAATATCTTTATTTTATAAATACTGTGGTAATATCCTTATTTTATAAATACTGTACGCTAATATCTTTATTTTATACATACTGTGCTAATATCTTTATTTTATAAATACTGTGGTAATATCTTTATTTTATAAATACTGTGGTAATATCATTATTTTATACATACTGTAGCAATATCTTTATTCTATACATACTGTGGTAATATCTTTATTTTATACATACTGTGGTAATATCTTTATTTTATAAATACTGTGGTAATATCTCTATTTTATACATACTGTATAATATCTTTATAAAATAAAGATATTACCACAGTATTTATAAAATAAAGATATTACCACAGTATTTATAGAATAAAGATATTGCTACAGTATGTATAAAATAATGATATTACCACAGTATTTGTAAAATAAATATATTAGCACAGTATGTATAAAATAAAGATATTAGCGTACAGTATTTATAAAATAAGGATATGTATGTATAGAATAAAGATATTGCTACAGTATGTAAAAAATAATGATATTACCACAGTATTTATAAAATAAAGATATTACCACAGTATTTATAAAATAAAGATATTAGCACAGTATGTATAAAATAAAGATATTAGGGACACAANACAGTATTTATAAAATAAAGATATTACCACAGTATTTATAAAATAAAGATATTACCACGGTATGTATAAAATAAAGATATTACCACAGTATTTATAAAATAAGGATATTACCACAGTATTTATAAAATAAAGATATTACCACAGTATGAATAAAATAAAGATATTACCTCAGTATTTATAAAATAAAGATATTACCACAGTATGTATAAAATAAAGATATTACCACAGTATGTTTACAATAAAAATATTACCACAGTATGTATAAAATAGAGATATAACCACAGTATTTATAAAATATAGATATTACCACAGTATGTATATATAATAAAGATATTACCACAGTATGTATATAATAAAGATATTACCACAGTATGTATATAATAAAGATATTACCGCAGTATTTATAAAATAAAGATATTACTACAGTATGTATAAAATAAAGATATTGCCTCTGCAATTTGGCTAGCTGCAGAAAACATCCAAAAAAATTCATTTATTTTTATTTTAAAAATTAGCCATAGTGTGATTGAAGGATGGTCAAGGAATGGATGATCAAGAAGAAAGAATGAAAAACAAGAAATATAGAAGTCTCAAAATGTTTCCATCTGATTCTGATATCATATTGAAGTTTTAAAATATTGTAAAATTTAATTAAAATAAATTATTAAAGTTAAAAAGAAGAGACTCTCACTTAACTGCGCCAAAATTGATTGTCGTAATTTCTGACAAACCAATTGATGCAATAAATCATAACTCATAAATTTTCAAATTCTGATAAGATCACGCATCGGGTCATCTCCCTATTTGGATCTAACCTTTATGTGTTCAATTATCTTTGCACTCTGATAAGATCACACATCGGGTCATCTCCCTATTTGGATCTAACCTTTATGTGTTCAATTATCTTTGCACTCTGATAAGATCATAAATCGGGTCATCTCCCTATTTGGATCTAACCTTTATATGATCAATTATCTTTACACTTTGATAACACCCTTATTAATAAACATCTTTAGGCAGAGCATATACATTTATTTATACATCTTTAATAAATGAACATACAAATACATTATGACGATAATTTGATGGATTAATAATCGGTTATGATCCTTTTATTTGTTAGGCTCATTAGCCTGATCTTTGAGCACCTTCTCAGTAAGCCTACTGAGTCTAATATACTAGCCAACCCATCAACTAGATATTTATCTTCTTTATTCCAGGTCTGTCGGTTGACGCGCTCCTGGCAGGGATGATATCAACATTAGGTTGTACAACCTGATATCATCCCTGCTTGCTTTAGGGTAAAGGTCAGACTCTTGCCCCCAAGCCTTCCCTGTATCCCATACATCAATAATTGGATGTACAGGGGGCTGTTGGGTACTTGTGTCCCCTGGAGTGGGGGACACGAGGCCTCTAAGCTTCTTATTCAGTTCCTCCAAATTATCCAGAACTTCCTGCATTGCCTTCACCAGCCCCTCTGTATCATCATCCTCATTCTCGTCATCTACCTTGTCCTCAGCTACATCTCCATCCTCGGAGGCTGGGGCAGTCACGATGGGAGCAGATCCTCTGACGAGAGGAGCAAGATCTGTTGGATCAACTTCATCTACATCTTCTGGAGTAGCTTCAGTTACATAATGCTTACTATTACAGATACTTTATTCATCTCTCCTACAACATGCAACATAGTATGACACCCCCTAAAGAAATGTCTTCAAAATTATCATTTTCTTTTACAAGAAACCTGCGTATTCTTTATTAATTCAGTAGAAAATTGTATCTTCCTTTAATTAAAAAACTTGACATAAAACTTCTTCATATATTAAATTAAAAAATCAAAATTTCCGCAAATTATGTTTTCTTCATTTTTGGAATTCAAATTTAATTTTTAAAAATTTCGCATTTTTTTTTAAATTTCATAATTTCTTTGACATTTGACAGATGCAACATGTGATTTTTGTAGACAATTTTATACGAGACATTTTTCAAGTAAAACAAAATATAGATATGACATTTGACAGATGCCACATATGAAACATAAAAATCCGAAAAAAAAATTTCTTTAGAATTATGATTTTCTTTTTGTAAAGAATGCAAATTTGATTCACATGGAAAACTCCTTATTTTTCTAATTCCTTCAAGTGAAATATAATAAGTTAAAAAATGAAAATTCCTAAAGAAAATTTTCTTCAAAATAATGTTATTCATTATGTATGGAATACAAATTTAATTAAAAAAGAATTTCGGATTATGATGCTTCATGATGCGACATGAGCATGACGCATATTTAACATAAAAAAAAACTTTTTTTGTATATAATGCAAAAATTAAAAGATAAAAATTCCCCAATTTTTTTTTCAAAATTATGTTATTCTTTATGTATGGAATGCAAATTTAATTTTTTAAAAATTCGTATTTTCTTTGATATTTTAGAAATGTGACTTTCGACATTTACAGCAATTCTATTGATGACACATTTGCCAAGTAAAACAATTTACAGATATGTCATTTGACGGATGCGGCATATGAAGCATGTGACAAATGACATAAAAAAACACTTTGGTAAACAAAATTTCTTCAAAATTACGATTTTCTTTTTATATGGAATACAAATTTGATTATTCAGAAGAAAACCTTCGTATTTTTTTATTAATTCAGTAGAAAATCGTATCTTCGTGAAAAACTTGACTTAAAACACCATCATATATTAAATTAAGAAATAAAAAAATTTCGCAAAATTTTTTTTTTCAAAATTATCTTCAAGTTGGAAATACAAACTTAAATAAAAATGATTTAGGATATTTTTTGTAAATTTCATAAATTATTTGACATTTGACAGATGCGACATATGACGCTTATTGATAGATGAGACATTTTTCCAGTAAAGCAATTTACATATATGACAATGGACATTTGACATCAACATATGACGCATAAATTTAAACAATTAAAACTTCGTATTTTTCATTAATTTAATCGAAAATCGTATCTTTTATCAAATGAAATACTTGACATAAAACACTTTTATAAACTAAATGTAAAAAAAAATTCAAAAAAAATATGTTCAATTATTCAATTATTCAAAAGAAAATCTTTTTTGTTGTCATGAATTCAAAGGAAAATCGAATATTTTTTTAGGTAAGTATATTTAATTAACATAAAAATTCCTGAAAAAAAATTATGTTTTTTATACATAAATTTATTTCATCCTTCATATATTGAATTAAAAATAAAAATTCCCCCAATTTTTTTTTTCAAAATTTTGTTAATCTTTATGCATGGAAGAAAAAATGAAATCCAAAATTATTTTTCAATTAAATTTGCATTCCAAATTTGAAAAATAAGAATTAAATAATCAAATTTGCATTCCATACCTAAAGAAAATCATAATTTTTAAGTACATTTTTTTAACAGGAGTGTTATTTTTATGTCATATGTCATATATATGTCAAATGTCGGTTTTCAAAATTATGTTTTTTTTTCATATTGGAATGCAAATTTAATTAAAAATTACTTCGGATTTTTGTCTTCATTCCAGTATATCAGAAAAATTTCTGATATTCTCATGTCTAAGAAGCAGCTGGAATCTTGTTAATGCTCTTCTCAGTATAAAAGTGCTGCCAGATTGCAATCCCTGGTAGATCAATATATAAACTCATACAACACAGATCTTGGGGACAAAAACATCTCTTTAATAGATTATTTCTTCTAAATTTCATAATTTCTTGGACGATTGACAGATGCTATTTTTGGAATGCAAATTTGATTATTCACAAGGAAAACTTATTTTTTAATAATTCAGATGGCATAAAAATAACACTTCTGTTAAAAAAATAAAATGTTCTTCAAAATTATGATTTTCTTTATGTATGGTAAGCAAATTATCATTATTCACAAGGAAAAAATCTTATTTTTCATTCATTTAGTAAAAAATTGTATCTTCCTTCAAGTGAAAACCTAAATTTAAAATAAAAATTCATGCAACATTTTTTTGGTATGGAATGCAAATTTTGTTTAAACTTTTTGTCTGATTTTTTTTGTTGATTTCATAATTTTATAATTTGACAGTTGCGACTTATGATTTGTGCTACAATTTCATGGATGAGACATTTGACAAGTAAAATACAGAATACAGAATACAGAATACAGAATACAGAATACAGAATACAGAATACAGAATACAGAATACAGAATACAGAATACAGAATACAGAATACAGAATACAGAATACAGAATACAGAATACAGAATACAGAATACAGAATACAGAATACAGAATACAAGAATACAGAATACAGAATACAGAATACAGAATACAGAATACAGAATACAGAATACAGAATACAGAATACAGAATACAGAATACAGATATGATTTTTTACATATGCGTCATATAAAGCGTTCGACATATAATAAAAAAAACTCCAGTAAAATAAATATTTTCTTTAATATTATAATTTTTTTGTATGGAATGGAAGTTTGATTGTTTACATTGAAGACTTCTTATTTTTCATAAACTTGTTAGAAAATAGTATCTTTATTTAAGTGAAAAACTTATTACAAAACACCAATGGATATTAAGTTTCACAATTAATATAAAGCTTACGACATATGAAATAAAAAAACACTCCTGTAAAAAAATTCTATAAAAAGTTAAAAATTTTTTATGTATGGCATGCAAATTTGATTATTCACAAGAAAAACTTCTAATCTTCCTTGAAGTGGCAAACATTACATTTGACAGATGGGACTTTTTGCATTTTTGAGACAATTTTATGATTAAAACATTTGACAACACCTTTAAATATTAAATTAAAACATAGAATTTAGCAAAACAAATTTATTCAAAATAAAAATTGGGTAAATGACGTTGTTATCAGTCTGAAAAAGTGCCTGACCAGAAAGTGGATTGTGGTGTATGTTTCGAGGAAGACAGTTGATTTAAAAGTTCTTATTATTAAGTGATCACAAGTCAGGAATTATTGCAATAAATGCATTTTTGACTATTTTTTGTTGATTTTTTTTAATATATCTTTGCAACCCGATGTCGTAGACCATTAATATTGAAATATACAATGTTTAAACCATCGGGTTAGAAAGATATATGGATTTGTAAATTTGAAAAAAAAACTTAGTTCCTTTCTAAAGTGTAAACGAGTTTTTTTGTAACATGCTATTAGTAAAAATTCAAATCTTATTAATGTTTCTTGGAAATTAAAGGTTTTGATTTGCCATTGTTTGATGAAACCCACTAAAACTTTGGAAAATGAATACGACATTAAGAAATTTTACATATGCATTTTCTGTTATAAAGCAAATGATTTACTAATTGCAAAAAAATCAACTTATTAAGTGGAAAGGGTCTGTGAACAAACACAATTGCTGTGTTTCATGTTTATTTAACTACTTGAAATCATAACTTCAGTTGGCATGGTTCATGTTTTAGGTTGAAAAATTTGGAAATGTAGATACTTACTAACATGCAACAATATTTTATCAAATGGAAAATGCGTGATATGTTTTATTCATCAATATATTTTTATGAAACTTTAGAATAGAAAAAAAACTAATTGTTTAATCGATTTTTTTTAAAAAGAAAAAAATGTTAAATAATTTTATTTCGCGTTGTTTGTGTTAAAAAAAAATTTAGCACTTGTCTTACTATATTTGATATTTTTAACCCCAAACATGAACTCTGAAAACATTTTCATTGTGGTTTGAAAACTAAAGCTAATGCCGCTTTTTTACTCACTTTGTAAGTAACATAAAAAAAAACACGAAAAGAACTAAAAACGCCACAAATTATAATTTTTGCAAGCTGTTTAGACTTTCGATATTTCAAGCTATGACTTCTGTTAGATAAGAATGTCTAAATGAATTGCTAGTTGTTCACAAACTTATATTTATAATCCCTATATCTTTGCTACCCAATGTAGTAGACCTTAGATATTTTAAACTATGAATTCTGTTAGATAGAAGAAAAGGGTCAGTCTGCATTGCGTAAAAAAAGAAAAAACTAACCCTAAACTAATCTAAAATAATTTAGAACTACTGCTCCACATGCAAAAGTGGTTTGCCTTGCTAAATTTTAACTCATTTTATGAAGTGTCTATTTTTTAAGCTCGTCAAATACACGATGATAATTTCAAGTGATCCTCCATTTAAAGAGGGCCATGCTCGATACCAAATGATAGCGTGTATACCTTTATCTGATTGAGGATTTGAAAATAAGGAGTGTTTTCCTGTCTTGTATCTTGCAAAAAAAATATGATACATCATTTTCTTGGAAATGTCATGCTGAATTCAGATTCGAAAACCATTTTTAAATATATTAAAATCTAAAGAACGGTACTAAATTCCGGCTTTTAAACTTTTTAATGTTTTTTATGAGTTTTTTTTTAGCTCTGACTCTCTCAATTTTCAGTTTTTTTAAACGCTTTTCAGATTTGAATTTAGCATTGAATTTCCAAGAAAATGATGTATAACATGAAAATAAAAAATATTTTTTTTTTGTGGCCTTACGGTGAAAACACAGCGACTTCCGGTGGGGGGTTGGCTTTATTCCAATATTGATCACCCCTACTGGACAATGGACATGCCACTCCATAAATGGAAGGTCACTAGAAATTACGTCTCTAGTCCCTTTAAGACACACTTTAAGTTGAAAGTCTAATGCTAAAAACTTTCATTCACAAATTTTAAAAATCGTTAAAAATAATAATATTATAACATCTTTATATTGCATAATGCATATTCTTCTACACATTCTCTAAAAAGGTTAACAATACAACAGCAACATACAGGGTGAGTAAAAATATGTAATTATCACGGACAAAATCTTTCAATGCTTTCAAAACAATATTATTTTAATAAAGTGTAACGTTAGAAACATTAAGGCTCGAACATTTTAATACAACGCAACGTATAGAACATTTCCTAGAAACGAAACGAATAAACAGTTTTGATTGTCAGTTGTAAAAAAGTGTAACAAAAAAGTTTTCACAATAACGTTTCGATAAATCGTAACGTCAGAAAAGGTGCATTTTAGTAAAATTTCTAAACGTAATTAAAAGAGTTTATATTGGAAAAGTTAAGATAAAACGTAACGTTAACAAAAAATATTCTTTGCTCTGAAATGCATTGTAACGTACAGAACTATGTCCCAATGGCGTTTTATTAAAGCAAAACGTTTGTCATCTTTTAGATCTCAAACCAAGTGAAAGTGTAACGTAAAGTCTCTGAAAATATTTACCTTGCATGAAAGTGGAATTGTTGTTATATTACATAAGCTTTAACGCAACGTTGGGAAAGTTTTATAAAACATCAAATGCAAAAGCGTAACGAAGCTTATTGTTTTTTCAAAACATTTACTGAAGCTTAACGTTATAAAAGGTATTCAAGTGCAGAAAACTCATTACGTAACGTTACTCTATGCCATAAAATTTCATTATTTGCTACGTTTCAAACGTTAATACTTTTGATGAACACTATCGTAACGAAAGCTAAAATCTAGAAAAATCAAAACGTTGACATCTCTATCCCGCAGATATATATCATTCAAAAATATCAAAATTGAACAAATTTCCCTGTTTATAAATGATTAGTTATACATTTCGGCTTCAAGTCCAGCGAGGACAAGAAACTGTTTACCGGGAATACTGGTCCAATTTTTGAAAACCCTCTAGGGTCCCGACTCGAACAAGTGGGCTTTGAAAACATTTTAAGTAATTTAGACGAAATGTGTACGAGGAAGGGAAATTATGTGGTCACCAGCATTATGAAAAAAAAATCCGAGCGAAAACTTTAAGCATTTGAATTTTATTTCGGTTATACAATCATTTACAAACTGTAATATTGATGGTAAAATAGCATAAATTTACTACATGTTTTTGTTGTTGTAATGCAGGATCAATAAAATTTATTCTACACAAGAAACCAAACATCTTATAACACCAAAAAAACTATGCAAATTCGTCCGTTGAAAAGATCATTTTAAATTAGAAATCTTTTGTCGATCAGGGTTTTTCTGGCAAGATTTGATCTACCAATCATGTACCGTAATACAGAAACAAATTTTGAAACAAAATAAGTAATAATGGCTGCCAACAAGAAGTCTTGTGCCAACAGGTCAACAAAACTCATTACAAGGATTTCCCATATTGTCAGCGTAAATTCGTGTCCGTATAAGAGTAAGCAATCAAATGAATGCCCTTTGTCAGTATAAAACACAGCTTTTTCAGTCACAGTATTGGTGAACTCTATGTCTAATGACGAGAATAATTAAAAAATTATATATCATTATGATTCAAATAAGGTTGATTTCGATTTTTCTTATTTTCTTTTGAAATAAAGAATTGTAGTAATTTTAATAGTTTATTAGCGTCATTCCTAGTGTAGATTCTATGAAATTTCTCTCCCGAACTTCAAAATCGAGATCTTTCAAGGCATGTTGTAGGAACCTATAACATGTGAAAAGCTAAAAGACGTTAATAAAATAAAAATAAAAATTTTAAGTTACATCTTTCAAATGTTGACTTAAAATATAAAAAAATTGCATGCATTGGATACTTCCGTGCTATTAATACAAATACTTCATTAGAAGAAGAAATTCAACAGAAAAAAATAGTAAAACTATTCTAGCATTAAAGGATTCACAAACAATGAATTAAGGATCTGCACAAATGATGACACTTAAAAGTTCATTGGAAGAACAGTGTTTGACAATGCAAGCAAATGCCACAGATTTGTAAAGGACATTTTCAAAAAATCAGTGTTAAGCTAAAAAAGATACTCCTGGGAATAAGTTAAAACAATTTATCTTTACATTACAGAAAAACTGCATTCTTAAAATGGAAATGTGTTTTTTTAGAAAAATGTAAAATATGAGATTTCAGATTATTCGCATATAAATTAACATTTATAATCGATAACAAACTAAATTTTCGGAATGAAATGTTGTTTGTTAGATGATTAAAATTTTAATTACTTACTTTCAAAGAGATTCTAAAATTCCGAAGCTCCAATAGTTTTTAGCTTTAACAAATCTTTTTGAGGGGGTTTCATATAAAAGTTCCAGTGGAAACAAAATTACTAAAAATTTTAGATATCTATAAATCTTTACCATTTCAATACGGTTCTTTTACCAGAAAAAGATAAAAGAAAAGGGGGCAAAAAAGCACATGACAGCAAATGACTTCTCGGCATGAATCTGGTGTTCAAGGAGCACCGGACCCATGCAATTGGTCAGCCTGGTTAGTCTAGTTTTGGCATTTTGCCGGTGCTCCTATAATCTAGGACACTTCTAAAAAAGCCAATGAAAAGCTTTCATAATGCGCAACGTAAATAAGTGACTGGAAATTCTATTCTTTTTATATTTACTTTTATTTGCACTCTGGCTTCTACTTTTCTTTAAATTTAATTTTTAAAGGCGTTGAGTTTTTGCCACAAACTAAAATTTTTTAATCCGTATATCTTTGCAACCTGATGGGTTGAACCTTAGATATTTCAAACTTAGATTATTTGATCCAACAGAAATTATGGTTTGAAATATGTAAGGTCTTCAACATCAGGTTGTAAAGATAAAAGAATTGAAAAATCGGTGTTTGTGGCAAAGACTCAGTTCCATTCACTAGTTTTTATAGTTAAAGATATTACATTCCATAACTACATTTAACCATTTAACTTCACAATTTATTTCAGGAAACCAATCAAGTAAAATCAAAACTAAACTTTCTGATTTTCTTCTTGATTTTATATGTTTTTTTGTGTGTTTGAGTTTTGTAAACAAAATAAGGGCCTAAAATGTTAATTTATAACAATAAAAAGCTCGCACAATATTATGACATGGCCATGGTAATAAATGGAGCATAACTAAAAATGAAGAGAGGCCTTAGTTTTGGGACTGGTAAGCGCTCCCACCAAAATCCCAAACTAAATAATTCTGTTTGACAAAAACACCCTTTCCTGTCCCTTTCTATAGGTCTGGACTAAAATGAATGGAAGTATTTTAACGCAGATTTGAAGTGAAAGATTTATGTTTTATTGGTAAAGAAAGTTTAAACTTATCATGAGTAAAGTTTGTTATTTCCCAAATAGTAGTTGCAAACAGTTTTCGAACTTGGTTAAAATAATTTTTGATTGATTTGATTGTTTGATTTAAATTATTAGAAAATTTATCTTTTTTCTTTTTGTGATGTGATTTAATTTATTTATCATTTGGTCTTAATTGGAAATTCCTGAATGTTAAAATGTGAAAGCTATTTATTAAAGATGTAACATTACAAAATAAAATATGCTTGCCCCTCTGGGTAACATAAGTCAAGCGTTTACAAACTGATGAATTACCTTGTTAGAAATCTATTCATTGTTGTGTACGCTTGGACGGAGTTCTGAAGAGTTGTACTTGTGAGTCGTCCGGTTTCTCTCCCAGCTTCAGATTTAAAGACTGGTGTAACAACCTACACAAGTATAATAAATTTTATTTTGCACTTATACTTGTATTTAAATTTTTTTGTTTGCAATTTAATTCTTCTAATTTTCATTAAATATTTATACAAAAGTGTACAAAATTATTTTGATTGAGTTTCAGTATTCCCTTTATTTAAATTTTCCTACTTGTAAAAATACTCAATGCCCCCCCCCCCCTCCCCGGGACATAAGGTCCCAAATCCCTAAAGCATCCCTTTTAAGAAGGTAAAAATCAGCCCCCGACATTTTTTTGAGATTTCCAAAATAATTTCTGCTTTTCTAAATAACTGAAATAGTGCCTTCCAATGGTGTCTCCATTCCCTAAAGGTAAAAAGTGTAATCAGGCCAGATCTCTCCTTATGTTTCATGTGTTTTTATGATATTTTGGCCTACAATATTAGCTTTATTTAAAATTCAGTGATGGTGATGGACCAAACCTCTGTAGAGTAAAAAAGTAGAAGTTAGTTCCACATTTATTGAAAATGTATTTCGGGTGTAGGTTTTACTTGAAAACTGGCACACCAGACTTTTTTTAAGGAGTTCAAATTGAGCTTTTAAATAGCAAGCCAAAACCCATAGAGGTAAAAAAACGGGGGCGTGTGAGAGCATTTGTGTGAATTATTTATGAAATTTTCTGAAGTGGACTCATCAGACACTCCCTATTAATACTGTAGTGTAAGCACCAAGAGGTGAAAAATAGAGATGGAAATGTTTCTTAAAAATATCTATATTTTCATAGGATTTATTACATAAATAATGATATCAAATCCAGCAAAACCCAAAGGCTACGAATTACGGCCATAGGAAAGAGGACCGTTCATAAGACTGCAATAAAACCATGTTGAGGGCTTTCCTCGATTTTCCTATCATATTCACATGGGGACCATGTTGCTATCTATCTGTCCAGGCGCGTATACAGGATTTTTTTGCCCCCACCCCGGCTGTTTTTTGCCCCCCTGGAATTATTTTGTTTAAAAAATCAATCAAGTCTAAACTTTATTCCTTTGCTCGAAAAAATAACTTTATAAATTTATCACTTAACTCCATCACAGCTATCGAAACCAATAATAACTAAATCAATAATCACAGCATCAGTAAAAAATGATATTTTCACTAATAAACGAAATTTTCTATCTAAAACTCTGCAACTCCGAAACTCTTTATAAATAACATTTAATAATAAACATGTTTATCAAAATAAATAACATTTAATAATAAACATGTTTATCAAATTTAAAGATATGACTTTGACTTCATGTCACACGACATTAACGAACAAATCAGCTTATTCTAGTATATTTACAAATCCAGTTCATTTAACCTTTTATTAAATAGGTCGTCAAGTACAATAGATGGCTACACAGAATGCGTACACTTTCAGTACAGCTGTTTAAACGTCATAAGTGTCAACTCAAATTCTGTGTCTGAAAAACTATAATTAAAAGTGATAATGTAAGGCTAAAGTGCCAATCTTTTAGTGAAATCAGTGCAATTTTATAAATTCTTTTTTTTCTGTTTTTACACTTCATCATTTAACGTTCTATTGACTAAATAACAGGGTTGAAACTGATTTTGTCCATGGCCCTTTAACATTGTAATTGGAAAGTATAACGTTAAAACATATTTCAGAAATGTTTAATGATATATTCGGGGTAGTGGTCTGGAAAGGTATAATCGAGGATAAACCCCCAGATCCGGAGGAAATACTGGGAAATACAGGCAACAAGAAAAGGTAATTTTCCAATGAAATGTCGTCTTCTCAGGATATTCAATTTTTTTTCTCACAAATATCGTCCACACCCTGGGACATCAAAGAAGAAGAAAGTGTGGCTAAATTATTTGAAAATTGACAAGACTAATAAAATCCATGTGTTCCCACAGACATTATTAACCTTTTTGTGAAAATCCTGTTTTTCCAAAGAATAAAGCACCTAAATATAGTAGTGAACAAACTCGGTCATCACAAGATAAGAAATTTGAAGCTAAAAGGTCAATCTATTTTTACATAAATTATTAAAAATATTTTTTTTTGTATTTTTATTATTTTTTGTTGTTGTTGTTGTGTATGATGGATCTGAGCTTTAGAGAAGAGGACGGCCTGTGTTAACGACAATAAATATACTGTATGTAATTTTAGGTTGTAAATATTTTTTTACGTATTCCTACAAAGACGACATATATCTACGCTGAATCTTAGAAATTTATCACCTAATGGTGTCGTATCGTTTGCACTAATGATTGATCGTACTAAAGTACATATTCGCACTAACGTTCATTCGGACTATATTTTAGTGCGACTGAACAACTAATTGTTCAATCAAACTAAAAACCACGTGGAAGGTTTTTTGAGCAAGTGGAGAACTATTTTTAAAAATTCTAGTGGAATTCGGTTCATTTAATTAATTAGTTTCATTGAACATAACGTAGTGGAAATGAACAACAAATGTTATATTGAACTAAAGCTAAAAGTTCCGGTAAAATCGATGTTTTACTAATGAACATATTTAGTGCCAATGAACAAATAAATTTTCAATCGAACTAAAATCTAAAATTTTACCATTTGCCCATAAAATATTATTAGTACAAATGTCAACATATTTTATAGTAAAAATGAACAAAAAAATGTTCAATCGAACTAAAATCTAAAATTTTACTATTTTCCCATAAAATATTATTAGTACAAATGAACATATTAATTTAGTGCAAATGAACAAAAATATGTTCAATCGAACTAAAATCTAAAGTTTCACCATTTGCCAATAAAATAGTTATAGTAAAAATGAACATATTTAGTGCAAATGAACAAAAAATGTTCAATCGAACTTAAATCTAAAATTTTACCATTTGCCCATAAAATATTATTAGTGCAAATGTTAACATATTTTATTGCAAATGAACAAAAAAATGTTAATCGAACTTTAAAAACTAAATTTTTTTTTTGACATGTTCATTTGCACTAACGTTCAATTGCACCAATATTTTTAGAAAAAAATTAGTCTATTTAAACAAATTTTTTGTTTAGAATGTTCATTTACACTAACGTTCAATTGCAGTAAAATTTACAGAAAAAAAAATCAGTGCACTTGAACAAATATTTTTAGTATTCCAGATCAATTGCACAATGATCATTTGTACTAAAATATTCCTGGCGCGAAAATAAAATATTCCTGGTGGGAAAATAAAATTTGAGTCCAATTGAACACAGAAAACCCGATTTTTGTTCATTTGCACTGTTCGATCGTATTAAAAACCGCGGTTACTGATCAGCTGACTTTAGTAAAAAAGTACGTTAGTTCAATCGGACATTAATAGTGCAAACGATATAGCATCAAACTAAGTATAGGACATGTCGTCTTTTTCTTACATTTGACCCTTGTGACATTGTGCGCAGTTGGTTGAATTTTCTGTTGCCATCCATTGTACTAGACAATCTATTTGACTTTTATGGATGTGAATACGTTGTTTTTCCCCTTTACCAACCTTATCGTAATATGTTCTCAGAGTTGCCGGAAGAATCATAGAAAATGTCTGTTGGTCTGATCCCGCCTGTAACCCTCTATGACCACACAGATCGTCTGCTTCTCGTTGAAGCTGGTTCAGAAGTCCTTCCATGTCCGTGTCGGCAGAACCGTGGGCAGATTTACCATGAATGTAATATCCAAAATGCGAGTGCGACATCACAAATACACTAACCAATCCATAATTACATGCATGGAAAAAATCTTTATTTTTTGTAATACATAATATGAATTAAATATCGGGAAATTACATTTATAGAAGCCTTTAATATAATCCTAGATTTCCTTATGTTTGCAAGAGAGCAGATATCTGTAAATTGAGCCAACTTATTTTCAATAATGGGAGCATAAACTCCTACCCAGAACAAGGTCTGAAATACTGATATTCCAGCCCATATTGAAACTCCGAGGGCAAACCTAAATAGAAAAGACTGTATATTTAGTTTTTCACTAAATATAAGCTCATAATCTTTACTAGAACATGGAAGTAATAAAATTTGTGACCTAGTCTGGAATATTGCTCCAAATGGAAGTTTTTGATATTATACTAATTTATTATCTACTAGCTAAAGTGCCCGGCGTTGCCCTTAGGTGCCCATGTGTTCCCTAAAAAAATGTCAGTCAATTTCGTCCAGTCGTTTAGCCAGCTATAGCTAACATAAATATATTTATATATATTTAAAGAATCATCTTGTTAGTTTTGAAAATAATATCCCCTGAAATTGCTTGTGCTTCAAAACTCAGTTTACCCAGCAACTATTACCTTAATATCAACTAAATTAGTTGTTTCATTTTTTTTATTTAAATTTTAATTTTAAATTTCTTCACATACCCCCATAGGACATGGCTGTTGAATAGTAATGTGAACATTAGCGTACACAGGGGGGTCAATCGTCCACGCCCCCTTCGCATCGCCCCTGCCCCTCCCTGGGACAAACATCAAGTGTGGTAAGTAAAAAAATAAGATTGCCCTCATCTTAAAGGGAGTGACTGGCTATGTAAGGTAGTTGAACTGAGCATGCAGTGTTGTGGAAAACTTCTTTAGGATTCATTTGAGACATATTTCACTTTTTAAAAGTCTGTAAATCCTGAGTTTGAGCGCAAATTCAAAGTTCAAAACTCCTGATTTGGGGGTGGATACGCTTTCAGAATTAGTTTTTTTTTAATTATTAACTAACGACGACATAAAATGTAAAAATATTCTACAATAAACTACAGACGTCATGTTTAGGAACATTTTAAGAAAATAAAAATTAATCTTATCATCGAAAATAAGTAATCTTGTTCAATTATTAGTTTTTATTATCTCACTATTCTAGTTTCTCGTTATTCACAAAGATGTTCGCAGATTTTCTATAACTATTATTAAAAAGACGAAATTTAAAGAATTTGAAGAAATCTGCGAATAAATTCAAAGAAAATTAGAAATTCGATATAATAATGAAAACGAAATAATCAATTTTAGCATTGATTTATTGACAAATTTCTTTCGTGAAATATTTTCCTAGCCATCTAATTAGATTACTGTATAATTTTTACTTTATTTTTCGTTGTCGTTATGTAATAATTTAAAAAAAAACTATTTCTGAAAACGTATCCACCCCCAAATCAGGAGTTTGAACGTCGAATTTGCGCTCAAACTGAGGATTTACAGATCTTTAAAAAGTGAAATATGTCTCAAATGAATCCTAAAGAAGTTTTCGACAACACTGCATACTCAGTTCAATTACCTTACATAGCCGGTCACTCCCTTTAACAAGAGATGTTTTGGCCTTGAAACGTCGTTAAAAATATTTCTTTATTTTCAAATTTAACCTTTCTATTTCTCTTTCACCTTAAATCGCAACCACCCCCCCCTCACCTATTCTTTCTCCTGGCTACAGTTACTTGATAAACAATTATATCTTTATGCATTATGTAAGTGTTTGGCAAGTCTACCCCCAACTCCCATAAGGGGGGGGGGGTACCATATTAGACTATAATAGGGGAGAAAAAAGAGGAGAAAGAACTAATTATTGTCTTTAGAGACTATACAAAACCATACAAAGACACAAAATAATTTTATTTCCGTCTATCTGTTTGTTTGTATGCCCGATCAAAACTCATGAACTCCGATCTGCAGCGTCCAATTTTGATTGGGGAACTTGTTAGAGCAGGAATGTTTCAACCTTTTTAAAAGGTTGTACTTGATAAAGGAAAAAACTTTGTTTCCAGGTCATCAAATTATAATTTACCGATTTATTTCTTATCATGTTGCTTATTCAAATTGCCAAGCTACCTACATTTTAGCTGTCACATTGTCAAATTACCAAATTGTATGTTGTTAGTTGCCAAAATGTTAGTTAACAAATTGTCATTACAAAAAATCTGGCTATTGCATTAAACCCCAGCTAAGCTTTCGGTGTGTACTGCGATGATCTACAGCACTCAATCCTAGTAAAAATGTGATAATCAGCGCAAAGGATTTTCAAAGCCTTTGACATCCACTTATTTTCATAAAGAGTACACACTGCGCCGCACCGGTCTGAAGTAACTAACGCAGATTGAAACCGAATTCGATTTTGATTCATCCTTCACCCTATTTTATTTTTCACAAGAACTCCATAATTCCACAACATTTGTTTTCACCTGCAGACGTAGCTATGTTCTGCCATATACTCATCTTCCTCAGTCCATAATCTGTTATGTGCATCAGCACTAGCCAAATTTTCTAGTCCTACCACCTACAAATATATAAATGTTACGTTTTTTCTTATAGACATATGAAAACTAGATCTTTGAAAATGCAATCTTCTTTTATTTTTTTTGGCCTGCATGTATGATTAAAACAAACAAATTATTTTAGATCTTCTTTAACAACAATAAATTCAATTCTGCACTTTACCAATCAATTGTATGTTATGTGTTAAGATGTGTTAATAGCTTTATTTTACCTTCATAAGAACTAAAAATATTAGGACTTGCAAACTTATTTTAGATTTTCTTGTTGTTTGTATTTCATTCCATTCATTGGCCACTAGGTAAGTTCTCCAAACTGATACAGGGGGCTCTAATTCTTCACACTGAACAAAACATTTTAGGATTTGGCATTTTAGATAAATAGTTTCACCTTTATTGAGAAGGTACGTTGAATTATCTATAATAATTAAAAATAACAAGACAGTATGGTTTCGAATTGACCATATTTTTTGGGGTTTCAAGTATTACACCAAAAGTACCTAGAGCCGTAATTTAAAAACAAAATTAACTGGGTGATATGTAAAATCTAACAAAGCTATTTATAACCTCTAAAAGTAAACACTTATTTAAAATTTTAAAGAGTTTACCTTTTCTAACTTTTCGACTCGTGGGGGAGGTCTTTCCCAGTCAAGGAGAAAAATGTCCACGGTGACCTGACCAAGGATTAAGACTACGATATCTAAAAGCTTAAGAGCGAATGCAGAGATAAGGTAGTGTTTGATAAATGCTTCTTGATCCTCCGCTGGCAATACAGTGTGCACAAAGTTCTGCTGTTTGAAGAATATAAACCAATACAATGAGCTGAAGAAAATAATTGCAAGAAAAATGTGGGAAAGATATCCTGCAGCAGATACGACCAGCTTGATGAGTGTTCTTGCATCAATACCTACCTTGCCAGACCTGCAACAAATATCATATGTTAAATCAAACACATAAAATCTACAAACATGAACAAAGGAACTGAGTTTAAGGCACAAACTAAAATTCTGTTATCCCTTTATCTTTGCAACCTGATGGTTTGATACTTTGAACTTTCAAACATAGACTATTTGATCTAACAGAATTCATATTGTTACACCATCAGTCCTTATAAAGACCCCCGAGCTAAGATGTATCCAGTGTGAGCTCAATAGCTCAGAATAGGGATAGTTCCATTGATGTATACAAACCTGGAGCTAAATTCAGAGTCAATAGTTCTATTGATATAGCCCCTTCAGTCCTTATAGGGACCCGGCCTATAAACAAGAAAACATATGAGCTCTTTCATATATAGCTATAGGTCGGACAGAATGTGGGGTGGATGATTAGTCGCCAATGTGGAGAAATATTTGTTGTTAGAAAATCCCAACCTAGAAAACATGCTTGAGCGCATGGAAAACCAAAGCCACTGTTCCCCCATATCCTAGTTTGAATTCAAGCCAATAGGCATGAACCACGACTTGGAAGGAAAAAATAGGATCAGCCTGGACTAGAACCAAAATGGAGTCAGTATTCACGAAAAGTCTGAAGACGGAAGATTGAGTCGTTGTAGGAGGCAAATGAAAGCAGAGAGTCTATCAGAGAGCTCCAGCTTTCCATGATTCATTAGTATCATTTTATTTGTTAATTTTTTACTTGTAAATACATTTTTTTCCCAAAGCCGACCGTGCCTAACTGATGTGTTTAAGTTTGTACATAACTGTACATTTCTAACAAATAATGTATTACTTGTTTCAGGACTACTGTACATGCACCCCCGACCCGGAGTTCAATGACCTCCACGAAGATTCGGAAGATGCAGAAGATTTTGAGAGTTCTGAGGATGAGTTTTCGGATGAAGGAATCATCATAGATATCTCCTCACCACGGTGAAAATAGTTCTCCAAACTGCCGCTTCAACCTTGATGGATTAGAGCACAATACAATTACAAATATGTTACAAGATACATTGGTTGAAGAACAGTTAACCTCAGTAGCCTCAACAGCTTCTTGTGAGTCAGAACAATAAATAGAGGCTGAACCGGAACACGACCAGAGGCATAACCAGAAAAGAAACAGGTTCTAAGTAAAGTAAGAGAATTAGAAATTTCAGAACCTACAGTACATAAATAGCAACATCAACAACAAGATCTTCAGGAAGATCATCAGGTTCCAGAGAAGGAAGGTCAACCAGAATCTCTAAACCAATGAACAAATTTGACCCATCTCCTTCACCTAGAACACCAAGACCAAAAACACCAAAGAGAAAGTCTTGTACAAGTTTACCGTCAGCAGTCAGGAACATGGGAAGCATGATCTCGGGAAAAATTACCTCCATAACAAAAACTTTAAGTCCGTTCTAAATGAAGCATGGGCAAAGAGACCTCTAGAACCTCCTAGGCGCCCAGGAGCAGGACCTCAACCAGGACAAGAGCAGCATCTCTTGAAAAAAATGCACAGGACAGGGAGTATAAAAATCAATCAATCAATACTTAGTAAATCAGGATACCGAGTAGAGAGAGGGGAGGAGTAGGTCGGAGAATAGGTCAGTAAGTAGACCAAGTAGTAGAGCAGGAAGTAGAGACATATGGGAGCGTAGTGTTTGGACTGATAGTGAAGACGACAATGACAATGGAAAGGGTAAAAACAGAAATCAATTTCATTGGGGAAACAAATTTCATAATTTCCAAAGTCAAAAAGTCCAAAAGACTGTACCACTCCAATCAAAGATAGGAAAAAAAAATGATTTTTGTATATCCTGTAATATTTAATTCAATCATTGAATGTCTAATGATATCCAAGTTCTCACCACAGGCGGGAGCATTAAGTTCTCCATCTATTTATATTTATAATGCTAATGATGTCTTTGTTCAGGTCAGAAAGGGAGACAGCATAGCTTGGCTGGTCAACCTGGAGATCAGAGGCAGAGTTCTGGTGGAGGACAGAGAAGCAGAAGCAAAAACAGTGGAACCAGTCCTCTAATGTTCCTTGCTAATGAAATATAGAGTCACTTTGGTACTGATATTGCACAATCAAGATCCAAAGACTCAGGAAACAATGAATATGTATTTTCTTCCAAGTGAGGAAATAATTCCAAAAGTTAAAACTCCTATGGGGAAGACAAGAGTCGTCAACAAGGACGGAAAAATGATCTTCAAGGATCATATACATAAATCATAATGTATTTTCTCCCTAAGTGGGTTAATCGTGAGAAAACTCCTATGATGTAATTCTGTCATCATTCATTGTCATTAATGATGACTGAATCAAAATGGGGATGTAACCAGTGTGAGCTCAATAGCTTGGAATAGCTTGATGTAACCCCTTCAGTTCTCATAAAACCTGGACCTAAACTCAGAGTGGATTTGTCATTAGAAAATGCCAACCCAGAAAGCAAGCTGTGATTGCAAGGAAAACGATGCCACCGTTGCCCCAAATCCTAGTTTGAAATCAAGCCAATAGGCATGAACCACGGCTTAGAAGGAGAAATTAGGATCAGCCTGGGCTAAAAACGAAATGGAGTCAGTATTAGCGTAGAGTATGAAGATGGAAGATTAACTCATTTAACGAGGCGGAGAGTACATCATAGAGATTTCCGCTTTCCATGATTAATTTTATTTGTTTATTTTTACTTGAAAATACATTTTTTCTTATACTCTGTAGATTTACTCTCATCAGTTTTCAGGCTTTAGATTTCCTTCATTTCAAACCATCTTAATATGGTAACATTAGTTTGAAATATCCAAAATCCACAGCACTGAGTTACAAAGATAAAAGGATTAAAAAATTCTTTGACGTTTAAGCTATTTTAAAAATCTGGCCTCATTAGAATAATGAAATAAAATTCGATCTAAGTGTTCTATAAGTTTTCTATATAACCTAACTTTGATGATACTCTTCCATAATACATATGTAATTGCTAACTTTCTTGATAAAAAATAACAAAAAAAAAGTGTCAATATTGTGCCTTTTATTTTCCCCATGGAACCACTCTGAGAAAGTTTATGGATTCCAATGTAAATCACAAAAAGATTAAAAATTTTATAACCTCAGAATAATGTCTGAAAATTCGCATAAAAATTATTTTAAACAATTATTTGGATTTACGAAAAAAAAATTAATTTACGCCCTGATTTTTTAAAGAAGGACAAGGAACTTTTAACTCTGCACTTCAAAAAGATATTTTGTAAAGAAGAATATGCAGAGAAGGCTCGGAAAGAATTTGAGGAAAACAATAATGATTGAGCAAAGAGTTGTTTTGGCTGGAATTCCAAATGTCGCAATAGTTCAGAACACACCTTTTGGACCAAGACCATGCATCAACGGCACCCAGTAAAACAGCCAGTGCAGACATTACCCCAGCAGCGATTTCAACATCTTTTTCAACGTTAATCATATTCATTCTAAAAAAAACGTTTTTGGTTTTTTGTCTTGTTGGATAATTTTTTACAAATGTTGTTACGATTTTAATAATTGCAGATACCTATAACTAACTGAAAAAGTCATTTCGACTTTCTTGTTATTTTTTGCCTCTTCAAGGGAAACTTCTTTGTATCTGAAAAATCAAAAAAAAATCAATGGCATAATATTTAATATTTAGGGTGTCACACACAAAAAAACTTGGCAGTTATCTCAGTTATCTGTATACATGCACTAGCTCAAAGAAACGATTTTCGCTTATTACTTTAAAGAAGAAATTAACAAAAGTCTGTCAAATTTTTTTGATTTATAAACAAATGAAAATAAAATGTCAACACCAAAAATTTTAAAAATCCTGGAAAAGGATTTTAGACTTAAAATCAAAGAAACGATTGGAACATAACCAGATTGTATGAAGCCTAGAAAAAAAATTGATGTAAATCGTCCCCTCATTACCCAATACCATACGGCAAAGTTTTTTTGACACCTTGTATATCCCACTTTTTAAATAAGGTCAAAAGATAACCTTAATTTTGTTATTGGTGGATGAATTCGTCCTGGCTTCAAAGGATTTTTTCTGGTAATAGCGTTTCCATTTATATTACAGGGTATTTTATTTTAAAATATTAGTATAAATGTTAATTCTTAGCGTATTAATAATATTAAAATGTTAACCCTAGCCTGTTCTAGCCGCAGCGCTCGGCCCAGAAGTGTGTTAACCTAACCTGACCCTAAATACATACTAATCTTATATGTAAGACATAGATAAAATTGACCATGTGGCCGCAGCGCTCGGCCTCCTAGCTTGTCCAAGCCTCAGCACTCAGCCCAGAAAGTGTCTTAACCTAACCTAACCTAACCCTAAATAATACTAATTTTATAGAAAATTGTTGCAAAAGTGCAGTCATGTACAAAATTGATAGGGGGAGGGGGCGGGGGGCCGGGGGGTGTCCAAAAATCGTATACTAAATGTTTTTTAGAACACCTTGAATAAAAAAATGTTTGTATGATACCAATTTTATTGTATTCATTGCAATCTATGTTTTATGGTTAACTGCCTTGTGTCGAGGAGTGTTATCACAATTTCTAAATGTTCCAAGTACCGCACAACTTTTGCCCTAATATAAAGTATTATAATTTACAAAAGGAAGTTAAATTTGATTGATAAAATTATGAAGACAATGCTAACAAAGGCTTTCAGTTCAGGGAATTTACCTTTTATCCGAGCCACTGACACTTGCAGAACTATCCACAAGAAAGAACCTGTAGAGACAAATGATGAGCAATTGACATGTATCTATATGTACTTAAATATTTGCTTTCTGTCTGTTTGTTTGGATTTAATAAACGTCACCACAGCTAAGTATTTGATGCGGGACCTTTATCCCACTTTTTGCTACACAAATTTTCTAATCCCTATGTCTTTGCAAGCTGATGGCGTAAACCTTTGATATTTTCAAACAGAAATCATAGTTTGAAATATGAAAGGTCTACGAATCGAATATAGTATTAAAAAATAAGTAATTGTGGTAAAAAATCATATTGTTCAGAGCATTCACAAATTGATAAAAGAGAAACTTTTATTTTTCATTTTTTTTTGTATTCACAAAGCTCAAATTAAATTGCTAAAATTATTGTTAGAAAAGGGGCGTATAGCAACTTACTTTTTTATAGGTACTGTGTAATATTCAGCTATATGTGTAATTTTCTGCACAAAAAAGCAAAAGTTGTATCTACATTTATAAAATCTGTTAAAGATGCGTGGAATTACTGATAATGAACTCTGTCTTGAAAAATTACCTTGTTGTAAGCACCCAGTTTTTTGGGTCTTCTTCCATTTGTTCCTTACTATTAAGGACAAGATTGAAAATTGAATAAAGTGTGTCTTTGTTTGGAAAACTTTGATCCATAGGAAAGTTATAGTAAAGATCATAAAACTCTGTTTTCATACTCCAGAGAGCAAGTGCAGGAACCTTGCAGATTTTCTTATACCTTAACATAGAAATATTCTGTATCTGAATATTCTGTACATTCAATATCTGAATATTCTGTACAATCAATATCTGAATATTCTGTACAATCAATATCTGAATATTCTGTACATTCAATATCTGAATATTCTGTACATTCAATATCTGAATATTCTGTACATTCAATATCTGAATATTCTGTACAATCAATATCTGAATATTCTGTACATTCAATATCTGAATATTCTGTACATTCTGAATATTCTGTACATTCAATATCTGAATATTCTGTACATTCAATATCTGAATATTCTGTACATTCAATATCTGAATATTCTGTACATTAAATGTCTAAATATTCTGTACATTCAATATCTGAATATTTGAAATTTGTTAAAAAACTCTGAATTATGTGATATTTAAAGGGGATTTTTTTTTATTGGATATTCTTTTTTTGCCACAAACTCAGATTTTCTAACCCTTATATTTTTGCGACCCAATGTCACAAATGAGTCCGATCGTTGCATGATCCGAACTAGTTCATGAAATAATTAGTCTAGTGTTACTCGTACCAGCCAGTCTAGTGTACCCTGTTTGTGGTTGACTCATAGCGTTTTATGTGACAGCATAAGAAGGGATGAACCTGTGTGGTCTCGTAGACCTTTGAAACTGTGAATTCTGTTAGATCAAATAGTCTAGGTGTGAAATATGAAATGTATTAGGTTAGGGTCATAGAGATAAGAAAATTTGAGTTTGTGGCGAAACTAAAATCCTTCTATTTTTTACCATTTTGATTTTCAATAGGTGATTTGGGGGGGTTGTTGAAGACTGTCATTACTTTATTAAAAAATTCAAAAGTTCTTGATTTAATATATCTAGATTTTTACAAATAAAAAGACTATCAAAATTTTTTAACCTGGTTCCAAAACTCCAAGCGGCATCAGCTATCATATCCGAAATATTACAAATGTGAAAAACATTTCCTTTGGCAGTTTCAACAGCAATCAAGTGACCCTCAATGGAGTATCTGATAAAAGAAAACACTGAAAAAAAGCGAAAATTGTCGTTTTTAAATCTAATGCTTTAAGGAAACGATATTTATTTGATTATTGTTCATAGTCATTTTACAGGGCTAAGAAGTTAGCTTATTTTTTTGTAAATAGGCTGATTAATTTAAGTCCAATTATTGTAGCTAATTCCAAATCAAAATTTGGCTAAAAATATTCCAAGAATCCTTAAAATTCAGCGCTGTGCACTGAGAAATCATTTCCAATTCCATCATCATTTATGCTTTTTCCTTCTCATCTCTTAAAAACACCTTTGCTTTATACCAATCTGCACCGTTTGTGGGATTTTTCTTGCGATTATTCTTCTGCTGTGCCATGCCATTGAATTAAAACCGAATAAAACGACAAGTTACAAATAAAAACGCGTCTCTGCATTTATAAAACTTCTTAACATAGAAATCGATATCATTCGATGTTCAGCAAAGACATTGCCCCAGGTTCGAATTTTAGGAAAATCTGGAATATTTCCTGCGTCTAAGTTCACAATATTTTATAGAAAAGATGCATAACTACAAAGAAAATTATAGTTAATGTAAAATTTTGTTCAAAAAAATAGATTAAAACCTTGCAATAGTAATATTGAGACGATTTGAAAATTCCACTCCTCGTCCTGGCAAACTGTGGGAGGAAGTTATAGCCTCACTCTCTGCTGTTGAAGAACTTTGTCCAGATGGTAAAAATAAACTCGGAACACGTCTTAAATAAATATAAAACGATAATTTAATTTGACAAAGTGAATATCAAGACGATTTTCCCAAACCAAATTCTTCTTTACAGGTTAGAATTATTGTTGATCTCGAGACATAATCCTACAGGAATAATGCAAATAATAAACGTACGTCCTATAGTCGTACCGGCAGGGCATGCTATATTATTACAAAAGGTTTTTGGCTTCCATCTAACCGCCACTTGTTTTATATCCATTCAGGGGTTAAGTTTTGCAATTTTTATAGGAATACTCTTATGCTTATATATTGGTTGTGTGGTCCAGTTGTACACAATGGAACCTGATGTGATCGCATATTCTACCCTTTAATAGATCTCTGTACTCTCTTCTCTCTAAACAGAACACACTACACAGTACACATGTTACATAAAGTTGTTACCTTACTGTCTGATCATTGTTCCTGTCCGCAATCCTCTTAAGTGTACTACAAGATGGATGTTCTCTGTCATGAAGGGTTAATGCACATAAGTTAGCAAGTAGGTTACACGATGTACTGTTTAAATGTCGGCCGCACATGTAAGCGGATACGGTCATCTGATCCTAGACATAAAATGCTGTTGAAATAAAAATTTAATCTCACTCTAATATTTAAAGAACCTGTAAAATCTTTCCCTGGGATGTTCAGAGAGATGAAAATGTGCCTGTATGATACTTGAAGGACTGCAATATGGTTTTGGTATATTGACGCACTAAGCTTAGGGGTGTCAGAAATATTTTTTTGGCATTTTTTTTAAAAGGTCCCATAAACCCGAAAAAGTTTAATTTTGATAAAACTTTTTGTTCTGGGTGATTGCATATATTCACAGAAAACTTTCTTAAACCGACATGTTTTTTCTAAATTAACTTTGTTAAGAGTTTAAGTCAAAATAATTATTTATAATTATTGCTTTATATCGAGTAGATATCCTTAAACATAACGATGTGAAACTTTTCAGAAAGTAGGAAAGATTCTGCAAAAATAAATGCCAAACCAAGCAGAATTTTTATTTTGAAAAAGATATATTTAGAACTTACATAGCAGCTTTCTGGGTTGCACTCTACTCTAGTTTTTCATTCATGTATAAAACAGCAAAAAAGAGATTCTGTTGATGGTTTAAAACTAAACAGCTAATGATTCATTGGAGGGAGGGATGGCAAAAACACCAATAAATAATTCCCAAATCTTTTTATGGAAAGTGATTGTAACAGGGTATACAGAGTACTTCATGGTACAGGGTTCTACAATATACTGCAAAGTACTGGGCTTTACTGGGGTATACGGGGGGGGGGGTGAGGGGGGTACAGAAACCAAACAGAATTTTTTTATTTTTAATAAAAATATTAGTAGAGTCAGTAGCACTTCTAAGCAAATTTTCATGGAGGGAGGGATGGCAAATACGCCAATTTGTAATCCCCATATCTGCAGGGTACTGCTGGGTAATGTGGGGGTACGATGGGGTACTGTGTGGCACTGTGGGGGTACTTTGGGGTACTGTTGGGGTACAATGGAGTACTGTGGGGGTACTGCCGGATACTGCATGGTACTGTTGGTTACTGCTGGTTACTACTGGGTACTGTGGGGTACTTTGGGGTACTTTGGGGTACTTTGGGGTACTTTGGGGTACTTTGGGGTACTGTGGGGTACTGTGGGTGGTGTACGATGGGGTACTGTGTAGTACTGTGGGGATACTTTGGGGTACTGTGTGGTACTGTGGGGGTACTGTCGGATAATGCATGGTACTGTTGGTTACTGCTGGTTACGGCCCAATGCACCTCAGTACCACTCAGTACCCCACAGTACCTGCAATACCCCCAGAGTACCCCCTGTACCCCTCAGTACCCCACAGTTCCCTCACTACCCTGCAATAGCCACAGTACCCCCCAGTATACAGGACCCCAGTAAAGCGTATTACTTTGCAGTACATTGTAGTACCCTGTACCCTACAGTACACTGTATACCCTGTTACAATCACTTTCCATAGATTGCGAATTACAATTTGGTGTTTTTGCCATCCCTCCCTCCTATGAATCATCAGCTGTTTAGTTTTAAACCATGAACAGAATCTCTTTTTTACTGTTTTACTCAAATGAAAATAATGCAAAACTAGAGAAAAGTGCAACCCAGAAAAGCTTCTATGTAAGTTCTAAATATTTTTTATTATTATGTTATTATCATATTATTTTGACTTAAACTCCAAACAAGGTGAGTTTAGAAAAAACATGTCAGTTTAAGAAAGTTTTAGATAGGTATTTGCAACCATCCAGAACAAAAAAGTTTTATCAAAAAATAAGCTTTATAAGTTTTATAGGAGTTTTTAAAAATATGAAGAAAAAAATCATTTCTGACACCCCTAGGCTTAGAACGCCAATATAATTTATCAACCATGCCATACTGCAGGCCTTCAAGTATCATACAGGGAAATTTTCATCTTTCTAAACATCCCAGGGAAAGATTTTACAGGTTCTTTTGCAAGGACCCGGATTTTAATTTCAGTTCCTATAAATATTTGAAAAGAAAGGGGTAAAAATTTAAATATTTTAGTGATGTTAACGATTTTTGAATTTGATTTTGAATTAATTGAAAATTCTACACTGATGATACACTCCTGTATGCCGAGTCCATTATCACCTGATCCAATCAGGGTTCAGTCATGTGTTTGCTGTCTATTCTGAACCAATAGAAATAGTGTGGCGGTATTACATCTATCTTTCTATTATTCTCATTATTAAATTAGAGATATGAATCCTTCAATCGGTGCTATCAGTAAATGGAAATATTTACTTCTACTGAAACTATAGTGCATAAATTACAATAAATCATAAAAACTTTTTTAAACTGTATGTTATAGCTTTCCTGTTAACAGTTTTAGCCTTTAACTTTTGCTCTGTAAGTGACCATTTTAATCATTCTTAAACTTTGGCAGTTTTCTATAAAATTTCGCGTATTTTCAAAAATAATAATTGTCGATATTTATTCCGGGCAAAATTGTTTAACTTCCTATTATGTAAAAAAAAAACTGGGCGCTACTACAAAAACACAGAAAGACAAGCTATAGTAAATACATAGTATATATATATATATATATATATATAGATTGGGAATTTTTTATTTTTGCACTTTTTACGAATTACTACAATATTTAATGACTAGTAATTGATACACGTATTTAATGCAGATAATCATTTTTCCAATATTCTTCAGTACTCTGTAGTCTGTATTCACACTTAATTTTACTTTGTTACAGAGCTCACTATAGTTTCAGTAGAAGTAAATATTTCAATTTACTGACAGCGCTGATTTAAGGATTCATAAATCTGATTGAATAATGAGATAGATAGAAAGACAGATGTTACCGTCATGCTATTTCTATTGGTTCCGAATAGAAAACAAATACATGACTCAACCCTGATTGGATCAGGCGCTCATGGACTCGGCTTACAGGAGTGAGAGTGACATTCTAGCCTAGACACTAGACGGTTTTAGACAGGTTAAACAAGGGGATATAGAAGTATCCTCTTGGCTCTCACATAAAGTTCACTAGCATGGGATTTGTGAGGAGGTTTTAGTTATTTTAATCGATTATTAGTTACATCATTTTACATCAACTTTTCGGAAAGTTGCCCAGGCCTACATATGTTTTCTATTTTATAGAATTAAAATAAATTAAATTACCTTAAATAAATTTGATTCAATCTCTCTGTCTTGATATTTAATTATTGATCCTGAAGGCGTCTCAATGTAAATATCAGATAGATCTAAATTGTTTGGAAGGCATAACCCAGATCTGCAAAAGAATTGTTTATTTATGATAAGAACTGGGAATTTTAGTGTTGGATACTCATAATCCCGATTTTAGTGTTGGATACTCATAATCCCGATTTTAGTGTTGGATACTTATAATCCCGATTTTAGTGTTGGATACTCATAATCCCGATTTTAGTGTTGGATACTTATAATCCCGATTTTAGTGTTGGATACTCATAATCCCGATTTTAGTGTTGGATACTCACAATCCCGATTTTAGTGTTGGATACTCATAATTCCGATTTTTTAATCTCGATATAACTTAGAGTACTTTAAATTTCAGGAGATATAAAAGAACTATACCTTTACATATCTTCATTTTACCTATTCCTCCCCTGATTAAAGCTCCCTGGACTCTTTAAACCCTGACTACCGACTGTGTACGAATGATTATACCTTGTGGGATATTGAAAAAAGATTAAATTTATCTGTAGATGTAAGCTGGTAACTTGTATTGTCGAGATCAATGCTTACTCGATTGTAGATTAATTTAATCTTTTTTCATTTTTCCACATAGTAATGAACCCAGTTAGGATTGAAGGAAGCTTTGATAAGGCCAGGGGAGGAATAACTGAAATGAAGTTATTAAGATCCTCAAATTATGATTATCCGGCACAAAAGTTTCCAGCTTAAGCATATGCCAGTTTAAGTGTTTAAATACAAAGAAATTGAATAAATATTCAAGAGGAGAACATATTTAACTGAACACAAAAAATCTAACCTTAAAATTTTCGATTTTACAATGAGCATCCCGATTTACAACGGATACCCTTCTTTGTGTTCAGAATGTACACAGCGTACAGTCGCAGTTTAGAGGAATTCAAGCTTAAACGGAAAGATCTCTCTACCCGATGAACAGTCAAAGGTTTCAAAAGTACCATTGTGAATCGGAAAATTGCCCTCTTTGCATGGAGGGTTACTTATATATTTTTAAAATCTATTAGAAGATAAAATTGATAATGAAAATATATACCTTTTAACACAATTACAATGAGGGTAAATGTTATGTTCAGTCAGAAGAGGATATAAATTGCAGGGTTCACAAAGTTTCCCTTCTTTTGATGGGAAAGTTCCTGAACAGTTTTAACAGGAATAAAGAAGAACCACATTTTCTTTAAATATTTTTTGCTATTTACTATATCGGACCTTCGCCCATATGTCTCAAAACATTCTGCCACTAGAGAAACTCGATGTTGACTTTAGCCGTTGTAGATCTTACAATTGATTGAATGTAGTGTATGAAAAGCATATTTAATTCAAATAATAGATACCTGGAGAGCATGGAACACAGCTTATCTTGTCAAGCAATTGGCCAGCATCATCCCGCTCTATCTAAACAAAAAATAGCGATTGACAAAACGTGAAGATTTATAGCGGTTTTGCAAATGAATCCAGCTGGGTTCACTAGACGGAATTGTCCATGGAGTACGATTACACTAGAACCGTGAATCCTTGTACCAGTTCGGATCATGCAACTATTGGACCCATGTGTTTGATTTAATATCTTTTATAAGAAAATGTGTGTTTATATGTTTAGAAACAAAAACAAAAACGAATAAAGATCGAGTTAAAGGTTAACTGTTTACCAAGCTTTACAACTAGCATTATTGCTTTCCTTTCCTTTTCCTTTATTTTTTTTAATTTGGGGGAAATATTCCCACAACCTCTATTTTTGGAGGTTTCTTAATTATTTTCTCCTGAAACACTTATTTTGTATGTTTTTGTTATATTTCATAAATAAATAATTACTTACTTCCCGATATGCTTTGCGTACATAGAGAATAGAATATATATTAGAGGGGAATTTAAAGAATCTCTCGGTATGATTTTTTTCAGTCCCTTTCAGCCTGAAAGGGAGTTCAAAGTGTACAAATCATGTAAATGTTCACAAATTATATGCAGTAGAGTACATTAATACAGTATGTTCCCTAGAATATTCATTTCAATTTCGAATTTTACATTTTTATACCTGGATCTACTCCATTTTTATACCTGGATCTACTCCATTTTTATACCTGGATCTACTCCATTTTTATACCTGGATCTACTCCATTTTCACATTCAAGGCACATCCTCCCATCTTCTGAGCTAACAAATCCATGTTTGCATTTAGAGCACTGTAGACCCAAGCCACCCTGTCGATCTCTAATATCATGATTTTTATGAATGACAATGCTCTCAACTATTTTTCTATATTATTCATTTTGCTGTTGTCTGCGAAATTGGTAAGTAAGACTTTTTTTGTTGGAAACCCACTGTGGAAAACAGAGCCGTTTGCTAATGTAACAACAGAGCCAAAAAAATGTCCAAAAACATTTTGACTACTTCCTCTTTAAACTTTTCATCCTGGTTTAATATCTCGTTTTCATCTTTCTTGAATCTTTCACAAAAAAATTCTTACTCTCTTCTATGGGATAATATGATTCTTGCATAGAATTGATACTTTTTTATTGCATTTCATCTAGATCCTCTTCTACTTCTGGTTTACTACTTCCCTTTAATTCTTCTTTGAGCCAGGCTTCTTTATCGATGTATAGGCTGTAAATTTTCCTTAATCTCTGGCCTGTACATATTTCTAAATCCTCTTCAGCATTGTTCTCCACATATATAGCTTGTGTACTGCCTGATGAAAACCTTCGCCTCTCCAATCTCCTTCTATTCTTAATTACGGTAATTTTGCACTTCCTGCAGGAATGGACACTTTCTCCCCTGACCACAGTTTTCTCTCCCTAACTTCCGCTATATGTTTAACATTAAGATGCTCTGTATGGATTATTTGCACATACTTCTTTCCTTTCTTATCTATCTTCTTTCCTCTTTTCACACTACATAACCTGGTTAATCTTTCTTGACTTCCCTCTTCGGTTATTAATTTTGCTTCTTGTTTCGCACATTAAAAGCTCACTCCGTGTTGTAATAGAAAATCTAATCCTTCTATCACTATAGGTACAGCTTCAAACACTCTATCCAATCCGTCTAGATAAAATTTGCACTTTCCTCCTATCCCGAATACTATAAGTCCTTTTCCTCCTTTTTCTGCTGTGCTCATACTAACATTAATCTTCCCTGACATTTTTCCTCCTGTCCTTTCCCAGAATTCTTTTAATACTAAAATATCCATCACTAGATTTCCTGTATCTACTAATGCTACTCTGAGAGTTGAGGGCTCCATCATGTTCAGTTCAGTATTTCCTAGCCTATATCTATATTTCAAGACTCAAAGCTCAGGATCCCTGTCGTTTATACACGAGGCATATATTTACTCTAACACCATAATCAAACCCCACTTTTGTTCCAACCAACTGTTTATTTTGGTTTCTATGATACAGGTTAGAATAATGAACGTAATTTCAAGTTTTACAACGTTATTTATAAGCGTAGTTAGATTAATCACAATACAGATCCTACAACGTTATATATATTTGTAGTTAGGTTAATGTACAACTTAATTGACAGGTATTGGGTTTACTATGATATTTATTATTCCATGTCATGTTTCAATCCTTACATCAAAGACTCACCTGCTATCCCCCATGTAATAGCCAGTATCCTGTGTTGTAAAATAACCAGGCATGCATCTACACTCCCCATTTGTGTAAAAATTATTCTCTACAGATACTCTTCTTGATCCTGGTGGACAAACCTGAACCAGAAGAGTTTTTAAGATTAGAGGATCATGGGAAGGAAGGTAAAATTATATTTTTTTAAATATTTCTTCTCATTTACAATTGATCTATTCTATGCTTGACAATCATTCTGAATTATCTTCTCTTTTTTCCAGAAATGGGAAAAGGAATTGAGCCTTTACCACAAATTCAAATTTTTTAATTCCTATATCTTCATACATAATCATGAAAACTTTTGATATTTCAAACTTAGATTATTTGATCTAACAGAAATCATAATTTGAAATATCTAAGGTTTATGACATTGGATTGCAAAGATATAGAAATTAGAACATCAAAGTTTTTGGCAGACTCAATTCCTCTATTGATACTCTCAATCATACAATGCAATTAATTCTAAAGTAAATATCTTAGTTTCATTTCCATAACATGTAAACATATAAGAACAAAAATATGTATAGAAAAATCTCACCACACAAGAAAGCATGACAGAGTTATAGCTTGAGTTCTGACTGCAAGAGTCTGGCTTGTCAAACCTTAAAAATCATCAAATTTTAAATCTGTTTTTATTTCCAGAGCCCAAAGGGAAACTAATTCGCCTATAAAGTATGAATCCTGAATATTTTTGAATCATGAATTTACTATTTATATACATATAAAGTAAAATGTACCTGAACATATTGATCTCTAATCCTTGTGCAGGAATTACAAGTAAGATTATGGCTACTAGACTAACCATTCTAAAATGAATAAATTAAATCTTAAATTTTCTATTGATGTTAAAATATTTCTTTCCGTTATGTACATACATTTATCCATTAACTGAAAGACTGAAAGCTCATGTAATCTATTTTCAGAATAAACTTATATACATATATAAGTGTCAAGCAATAAACTATATTAAATAAATAATAGAAAATGTTTTGAAAATGTTAAGAATCGAATCTTAATAAAGGATTTAAAAAACTAATGTGAATTCTGTAAGTCACCTACGTTTAAGTTCTTGATTGATAAATATGAATATTTTAATTGCTCCAGTCACTAATTGTTCTCTAAAGCAGCCAAAAAGAACTAAACTTATAGTTATTGCGTGCTTGTTTATTGACTTTGTCAGCAATTGTTGGTACCAATCCCCGTGCTAGAGATGTCAACGATAGTGTAACGTAACGTAAAATGTACGTTTTTGTACGTTACGTTACAATAATGTGTAACGTTTGGATATATTCTATATAACGTGAACGTTAAACGTTAACGTTATAGGAGCTCATACCTAACGTGAACGTTAAACGTTAACGTTAGAGGAATATACCCCCAACGTTAGCGTTTTGTGGAAATGTAACGTTATTTTTCTAATATCTACAACTTTTTTGACCATAACGTAAAGAAACGTTTTGTTTCCATGGGGAACTTGAAAGTCTAACGTTTGAAAAATTAATTTTGATATGATTGAATATCGTAACGAAAGGATTTCTATTTCAAAGTTCAACCTATAAAAAGTGTAACATTGAATGAATAAAAAATGCATTACTGATAATGAACACGTTTTGAAACGTTTTCCCTTATAGTATAATGAAAAATTAAACGTTTAAGAAATGGTTTATTATTTTAATAATCAGGAAACGAAAGTTTTTTCTACACAGTAAAATTTCATTAATGTAACGTATAACATTTAAAAAATGTAATTCTGTAACTCAAAACTTTTCATAACTTTACTCTGAATACTAAATTGATTAGTCTAACGTTAGATATATATCTGATGAAAATATTGTCAATAAAACGTTAGACTATGAGGGCTGCGTTTTAATCAAAAGTGTAACAATAATTCTGCCAATCAAAACATTTCAAAACGTATCTGATCTATAGATGTAAGAGATTCGGCTAATGATTATGACAACAAAGACTATTGGTTTTTCATTTCAAGTTTAAAGGAAACGAGTTTATGCCACAAACTCTAATTTTCATTTACTATATCTTTTCAATCCGATGTCGTAGACCATTAATGTTGAAATATAAAAAGGTTTAAACCATCGGGTTGGAAAGATATAGGGATGAGTAAATTTGAAAAAAATTACTTTTTAAAGTGTAAACAAGTTTTTGTACAAAAAATTTTCTATTAGAAATAAAAATTCAAATCTTATAAATGTTTCTTGGATATTAAAGGTTTTTGATTTGCTATTGTTTAATGAAAGCCACTAAAACTCTGGAAAAGGAAAACAACATTTAAGAAATTTTACATATGCATTTTCTGTTATATAGCAAATGATTTACTAATTGCAAAAAAATCAACTTATTAAGTGGAACGGGTCTGTGAACAAACACAATTGCTGGGTTTTATGTTTATTTGACTACTTGAAATCATAACTTAAATTGGCATGGTTCATGTTTTAGGTTGAAAAATTTAAAAATGTAAAAAAAAAATTAGCACTTGTCTTACTACATTTGATATTTTTTAACCCCAAACATGAACTCTGAAAACATTTTCATTGTGGTTTGTAAACTAAAGCTAATGCCGCTTTTTTACTCACTTTGTAAGTAACATAAAAAAAACACNCTCCTCTAGACCATAACCTCAGCTCCACAGATTCACCGGCCTTCACAAATTCCTGGTATAGAGCCAGGACCCGCTGTATTGAACCCATGTGTATTTGTTAAGTTGAAACAGGTTGACCAGGTAGAGTGGTCGCTCCCAACATTTCAGCTGATTTGGGGGCCAACACAGGTTTGCGGCCAAACTAGGCAGGGAGGAGAGAGCTGGTTGCTAACAGGTTGAATGCCGGGTCAAGACTGAAATATTGATATTTCAAGCTATGACTTCTGTTAGATAAGAATGTCTAAAGGAATTGAGTTTTTCACTTATATTTCTAATCGCTATATCTTTGCTACCTAATGTTGCAGACCTTAGATATTTCAAACTATGAATTCTGTTAGATAGAAGAAAAGGGTCAGTTTGCATTGAGTAAAAAATGAAAAAACTAACCCTAAACTAATCTAAAATAATTTAGAACTACTGTTCCACATGCAAAAGTGGTTTGCCTTGCCGAATTTTAACTCGTTTTATGAAAAGTGTCCCAAAACATGTCTATTTTTTAAGTACGTCAAATACACAATGATAATTCATACTCCATTTAAAGAGGGCCATGCTCGATTCCCAATGGTAACGTGTACACCTTTATCTTGTAAATGCAACGTGTATATCTTGTAAATGTATGACGGACATACCACTCCATAAATGGAAGGTCACTTGAAATTACGTCCCTAGTCCCTTTAAGGCACACAAGTCTAATGCTAAAAACTTTCATTCACAAAGGTTAAAAATCGATAAAAATAATAATATTATAAAATCTTTATTTTGCATAATGCATATTCTTCTACACATTCTCTTGAAAGGTTAACAATACAACAGCTACATTTTTTTTCCCATGGTTCATGTTTTAGGATGAAAAATACTAAAGTATCATTGTAATTATCACGGGAAAAAATCTGGCAATGCTTTCATTTAGAAACAATATTATTTTTAATAGTGTAACGTAAGAAACATTAAGGCTTGAACATTTTAATACAACGCAACGTATAGAACATTTTTTCAAATCTTTATTATAAACGAAACGAATCAACAGTTTTGACTGTCAGTTGTAAAAAAGTGTAACAAAAAAGATTTAATAACGTTTCGATAAATCGTAACGTAAGAAAAGTAGCATTTTAGTAAATTTTCTAATCGTAATTAAAAGAGTTTATATTGGAAAAGTTAAGATAAAACGTAACGCAAAAAATATTCTTTGCACTGAAATGCATTTCAACGTGCAGAGCTATGTCCCAATGACGTTTTATTAAAGCAAAACGTTTGTCATCTTCTAGATCTTAAACCAACTGAAAGTGTAAAGTAAGGTCTCTAAAAATATTTACCTTGCATGAAAGTGGAACGTTAAAAAATTGTGGTTATATTACATAAGCTTTAAAGCAACGTTGGGAAAGTTGTTTAAAACGGGAAATGCAAAAGCATAACGGAGCTTACTGTTTTTTTCACTAACATTTACTAAAGCTTAACGTTGTATAAGGTATTCAAGTGCAGAAAATTCATAACGTAACGTTACTCTATGCCATAAAATTTCATAATGTGCAACGTAAAGTTTCAAATGTTTATACTTTTGATGAACACTATCGTAACGAAAGCTAAAATCTAGAAAAATCAAAACGTTGACATCTCTACCCCGTGCACTACAACTAACTACATAGGGTGTTCCAATAAACATGGGAATTGAGAGACAACTTGAAAGTCGTCTTTGATTTCTAATATTAAATGCATGACAAAGAAAGTAAAAAACAAGGCTGTACGTCTTCACGCTGTACGTTTTCATAAAGGGTCTACCCTTTTTGTATCTTAAAAGTTGACGCGACAATTTTGATTTATTAAATAAATTGAAAGGAATTGAGTCTGTGCCACAAACTCGGATTTTTAAATCCCAATTTCTTTAAAACCAAATGCCGTAGATGCTTGATATTTCAAACTTTGAATTCTGGTGGATGAAACAATGTAAGTTTGAAATATGAAAAGTATGCATCATTTGGTTGTTGAGATTTAGGTATTATAAAATTGGCATTTGTGGCAAAAACTCAAATCCTTTGTGCACATTTTGCAATATCTCGGTCAATTTTGAAGATGCAAAAATGGTAGACCACATTTTTAAAATCCCAATACCAAGCATTTTTGATAATAGTTGTCTAAGCTGGAATACTGCAATAATTGTGTTCATGAAAAAAATGCCGCTTGCAAATCGAAGACGATACAAATGATGTCACTGAATTGGGACACCCCGTACATATAAAGTCAATTTTAATGGACATAAGAGGTATAGGCTACGTGAAAACCGCTCGCGCTTAGCTCAGCTCTCCTGTTGCGGTATTTCTCTTATGTTTATATAGATATCTGTATTATTTATTAAAACAAATATCATTGCAAATCACTGCAAAGTAGACAGAAGGAGGTCAAATTTATACGACATTACTCCGAGACGACTTTGTGACAGCGTAGCTCCTCTAGTTTTGATTTTACGCATAAGTTTGAAAAGATCTAATTATTCCGGTTTCATATTAGAAACTCAAAGAGTTTTGTTCTTTATGAGGAATTAAGATAGAAAACATACAATATTTCAATTGTAGGAATTGTAGCAAACTTTCACTTTTAATTTAACGTGAGCTGGAAAATGTATTATTTTATTTTACTATTTTTGTTTTGTTTAAGTTGGTAAATACCACGTTAGTCTTAGTTTATGTGCAAACTAACCTTTTCCGTGTGAATGATATTCTGGTATGCAATATTCTCTGTTGTTGCTTTCTCAAAATAATTGTAAAATACGCTCGATACTGGAGAAATCAGGTAGATTATTATCCGTAGGACGCCATGGATAACCAAAAAAGAAAGCTGTTGAAAGTTGAAACTCGATCTTATCAATTTCAATCCCCTCCTCTCAACTAAGAAATGGACTGAGTGAATAATTGCATATAGCTGTAAAAGTAAAAAATCTTAAGGATGGAAAAAATGTAAAAACTAATAATTTATTCAAGTAAACGTTTACCCGATTGTATTTTTACTTCGTATCTTACTTATTCTTACTTATCTACAGAAATATAGTTATTTTTTAACACTTTGTTTAATTTTTAGGAAATATTGATAGCTTTTTAGAATGAGGGAGGAGGTATAGAAACATTTTCGCTAAACCCTATAAATGTGTTGGTTTGCTTTGCGTTTTTTGCGCTGACACGAAACAAAAAGGTCCTGACAGCCGTTTTTTGGTCCTGATAACCCTACTGTGAACGCGATGGTCCTGACAGCCGGTCCTGATAGCCGGAGAGGTCCTGGTAACCCTACGCTGAATGCGAAAATGTCCTGATAGCCCGTGGGCAAATAAGAGCAGACAGACAAGCCAAATTTATATATTGATTCGCGGAAAAGAATGACAACATCAATTTGACATAAAACTATTTTTAAATTGTTACTGTTGAGTAAAAACGCACTTTTAAAAGGCCAAATTCTATTAAAGATTTTTTTCTGAAAAAATAACTAGGATGTATTAAACTAGCTTAAATGAACCCGTTACTGACCCAGTTTTGAAATTGATATTTTTCCAAGCCTGTGTAAAGCATACCTAAAAATCATTATCACATTAAATAATCAATGATCTTGGACCTCAGCAGCTCAAGACATATTTCTGTAAAAACAGTTCTTTCTTTTTGGCCGATTTTTATATGCAGTTTTTCAGAACGCTTGTGAGGAAAGCTGAATTCTTATATACCCTAATATATGTACTCTGTTTTGTCCAGTTTAAGCCGGACTGACCTGGCAGGTTGAAACTATGTTATATAGTGATATTATTGTTTTTGCTGTGTTTCGAAATAAATAAGTATTTCTTTGCAACTAGCGAAATTATTAAATAAGGAATAAGAAGTTGAGCTGAAAGAAATGCTTGATCTAACAGTATTTTTGATCCTCTTCTTAAAATGCAAATGGGTTGTGTTTTATGATGGGAATGGACGAAATAATTGAATTCTGATTTTTGAATGTGTTTAAAATTGACTAATTTAGACATAAGAACCACTTTTATTTGTCACCAAATATATTGTTTTGTAAAAGTATAGTTTTTAATGATATATTATGCCAGAACTCTGATGAGAATTTAAAAGAAATTAGGATGATTCAAGGTTTTGTTTAACATGAAAAAATGGCCATAAATGAATTTAAAATTTTAAATGTTTCATTAATTGAATTTAGCAATTAAAAATATTACTATTTATAATAAATATTTACTACAAATGGTTGCATTAAAGGTCTTGCATAAAACCAAGATAACAATGTATTTTAGGCATTTATATACTCTAGTCTATACACACGTTTGTATTAAGTTGCGTTGATTTCAATTAATATTATTTTATCCTTTATATTGTTGTCTTGATCCTGTAAATCCGCTGTAGTTTTCACGTAAATTGAACTTTTTCACAACTTTTCTGTACCCCCCCCCCCCTTCCTTCCCTAAGACGGAGAACACAAAACCTTTTTTGGAGTAGGTCATATGAGTCCGTAATGTGTTCCATTCGTCAGGGCCCACATTCAAAATTTTCAAAAATTGAACCAACTGCACGTTGGCATTTTCTCCTGGTACAGTTTTCTTTATAGTATATAGCGTATGAAGATTAGCTTTCTTTTTTAAGAAAACATGAAGTTTGTCATTATGCAGGTTTGTTGAATGCTGACAAATATGATAGTATGCAATATTGTTCAGGCTTATGAGGGGAGGAAGGCCAACCACAACAAATCCTAGTCTGAGCCACATTATCCTCATTTTCTTGTCAGAGCCACCTCGAAATCCTCGTCCTTTTATAAATATTTTTTTATGTGTCCAATCCTTGAAGATATGAATATTTTCTGAAAATCTGGCAACGTTATGGCATAACCATAGATAAATAAATAAACATAGATAGCTTATGTATGCAAAATCACCAAGAATTGTACAGTCCGCGAACTCATACTTTTAGGGGTCAAAGTGTACTTCAATGATAAGCGGGGTGGTTTGGTGTTTTAATGGATTTCATAATAGAGGGTAAAATAACTCTGGGAATGGAACTATTTGAACAACAATATTTCACTAAGCAATATTTCATATTGACGAGAACTGAAGAAGGACATGAAAAGTCAGTCAAGTCAGTTTAGACTTGAATTTCTCTCTACAGAACTCATGTACACCACAAGTACTTAGTGACATAAGAACAGCCAATGTTCACAACCGACCTAGGTAATCTATATATAATAATATCTTTAAAACATCTCTGTACATTTATATCTTTCAAGATGAAAAATGTCATCTTATGCGCAATCTATCTTTATCTATGGGCATAACACATGGTTAGACTAAAGTTTTGCAATGATATTATAATGTGGGAATCTTCAAATCCATGAGAATGATATTAAACTTTATTTCGGTTAAAACTTGAACCTCTTCTGCCTCCAAAATGGCTAACTTTTATAATTCAAAAATTATATCAAAGTATAAACTTAAACATTGTCTATAATCTTTCCATTTCAACCATATAAAAAAATTATTGATTTCTGATATATTTACAAATATGGCAAATTTTTATTCTCGTACCAAGTCACTTCTGCCTATCATGCGATTATTTCCAAGGAGAGAGTTATAGCTTCAGAAAAAAAGCTTAATATATAAACATTTATCCCAAACCTAAGTTCTTTAGAGTAAATATACACTGGAAATGTTATTCTGTGTTTGACTAGAGTCTGTCCTCATGGCCTCTATATTGGTGACCCCGACTTGATACATTCAATGATTCAATGCTAATCCAGTATACTGATATTACTCAGACTTTGAACGTTATTTCTTGCTAATCAAGTAGCAATTGTTCCCCAGATCCAACCCTAATCAAGTAGTGATTGTTCCCCAGAGTAAACAGGGCTGAAGAATCAACAGCTCCAGTCGCCACACAGTATGTAACTAAGTTGGCCGTCAAACTATTTTCAGAAACGTTTTGCCAATCCGGCTAATAACTGCCATCCACCCTGTAGCTTCCAGGGAAACTCCAGAGCTGACAGGAGGAGGAGGAACTAAATGGCCTTCCCGTCAGAAGGTTCCTTATATACCTTCAGGATACTCTGTAAAACCATGAATTATTAGAAAACACTGGAGCTTCCCATTCTGTTTTCATTCATCAGCTGCTCCTACAGGTCCCCATCTCCTGATGGCAGATGAACATCCAACAAAAGCCAGGGGAACCAGAATTCTCCCTCTCCAGTTTGGTAACCACCCTTTTCAGTTCCCGTTCCTTCTCGATGCCGTTAATTGCTCATCCTAGGAGCTAATTTCTTGACTGAATTTGATCTCCTGGTAGATTCCGCCAAACGACAGGTTCTACAACGTTCCTCTATGAAATCTCTGTCACCTCCAGTATCCTGCTGCCTGGAAACCCCATCTTCCTGGTAAACTGCCAGGACACCATGTCCAGCATGTGATTGAGACAGAAGGACAGCCCCTCTATGCCAGTCCCTGCCATTTAGATCAAGTAAAGTTAACCCTTGTTCAGGCAGAGTTTCAGAAAATTGAAACAGCATATTTCACCATTCTAATAGTCCCTGGGCCTCCCCACTTCATATGGTTTCCAAGCCATAAGGCAATTACCGCCGTTTGAACAATGTTACTAGGACAGATTGTTGTCATCTTCCAAACATCTTGTGATTTTATAAACAATTTGAAAGGTTTCATGTTTTTTTTTTCAAAAAACAACCTAGTGAAAGGTTATCACCAAGTTCTCATGAGTGAAGCTGACATAGTAACGCCATTTGGTTTGTTATAGTTTTTTCTATGCCGTTTGGGTTAAAGAATGCGGCTCAGACTTTCAACGCCTCATGAACAGGATCTTCAGAGGATTACCGTAATTCTTCATCTATCTGGACGATGTTTTGCTGGCAAGTCAGAGAAGAGACCTCCACCTCAAACATCTCAATGTGGTACTTGACCTCCAGGTTCAGAATGGTCTAGTTCTCAACTTGGAGAAATGCAATTTTACCTCAGAGGGAGATTGATTATCTGGGACCCCAAATCACTCCTGCAGGGATTGTTCCTCTCAGCCATCATATTGATGCTCTGCTCCTGCAGCCCCATCCTCAAGATGTACATGGTCTCCAGAGGTGTCAGGGAATGGTTAATTTCTACAGACCGTTTTCTTCCCAGGATTGCCAGGATTTCCGCCCCCTCACTGATGCTCTAGCTGGGAATCCTCCACTGGTCCGAGGAAATACAAACCACCTTTGATAAAGCCAAGCCTCCGTCGTTCCGATCACATATCCTTCTCTGTCAGCCGAAGTGTCCATAGTTACTGATGCCTCCGCCTCAAACATTTGAAACATGAGAATTAGGTTGGATGCTATCCCATTTGAACTACTCCCATTTGAACTATTGTTCATTTGAACTATTGTTTGTTTGAACTACTGCACGTGGTACCACATGAATAATTGAAATGAACAATAGTTCAAACGAGTTTATTTAATGCTCATTTGAACTATTTTCAGTACATTTGAATTATTGTTAATTTGAACTATTAATATTATATATGAAATAAACAAAAAAAATAGTTCAAATGAACATAAAAATAGTTCAAATGGACAAAAAAATAGTTCAAATGAGAAAAAAATAGTTCAAATGAGCAACAAAAATAGTTCAAATGAGCAAAAAAATAGTTCAAATGAACATAAAAATAGTTCAAATGGACATAAAAATAGTTCAAATGAACAAAAAAATAGTTCAAAATGGGCATAAAAATAGTTTAAATGAACATAAAAATAGAACTTATCAATTTTGTACATGACCATTTTATTTTTTATTTTTCAGCAAATTAGTATTGGTCATGTGGCCGTAGCGCTCAGCCCCTATCCTGTGCTAGCCTAAGTGCTCAGCCCAGACATGTGGCCGCAGCGCTCGGCCCCTAGCTTGTCCTAGGCGCAGCACTCGGCCGAGAAATGAGCTTAACCTAACCTAACCCTAAATATACACTAACTTTATTAAAAAAATTTGCATTATAGAGGTCTTTTCTGGCCGCAGCGCTCGGTCCAGAAATGAGCTTAAACTAACCTAACCCTAAAATAATAATAAATAAATATTAATAAATTTGATTNGGGGGGGTTCAAAAATCGTTCTCTAGGACGGACCCTTTTTTCATTTAACCAATTTTTTGTAATTTTTTCATTTGAACTATTTTTTCTCATTTGAACTATTTTTATTTCATTTGAACTATTTTATGTTCATTTAAACTATTTTTATGTTCATTTGAACTATTTTCATGTTCATTTGAAACATTTCTGTATATGTTATCTAATTAATTGTATGGTCCCTTACTTCATAAAAACTGAAGTAGTAGAAAAATAGTTCAAATGAGCAAGTAATGTGTTGATTTAAATTACAGGATATGACGTCATGTCAGTTATAGTTTAAATGAACAATAGTTCAAACAAACATATAGTTCAAACGAACAATAGTTCAATAGTGAACTTTTAATAATTAAAAATATTTGGTCTTTGGTCGGAACTTTTGGTTGGAATTTTGTTAAACTTGAATGTTTGATCTCGATATTCAATGTTGACAGTTTTAAATTTGAGAATCAATGCTTGATCCCTTCATTATAGTTATCCCTGCAGGCTATGACCAAAACGGGATTTAAAAGTGGAATTAAATTAATCCGTCTGTATGAGAGATTGAGATTAGTGCATGAATGGTCTTGAGATTTACAACGCATAAAAACGACAGGGGTAAGATACAGTGTTTTTATAAACAGATAATTATTTAGAAAGTGAACGAAATATTTACATTTAATGGTTCGGACCGGCTTTTTGTTAGGAATGTTTTTTATTCAAGTACGTTTGACTTTTTATAACATGCATTTTTTCAGTATCTAAATGTTGTGCAGAGTTCAAGAAACCCAGAAGGGGAATTGGAAAAAGGTGAGTAATTGCCAATTGGTAAAATATTTAAGTGCCATTGAAACCTACCAATCTATATCTGGTTATTTAAATATAAGATTATCCAATAAGAATGAGACTTCAGATATTTAAATACAGTTTTTAATGATATATTTTAGAGACAAACTAGTTTCTCTTACTATGATGTTCGGATTACACAGAAAAAAATATAGACAAAGGGCAAAGTCTGTATTTTGAAAAGCATTACTTATTTATATTTATAAGAAAGACATTTCGAAAAATGCATTAACTAAGAATTTCTTCTGGAAGTGTTGACAGCTTAAGTCTTTTTCTCCTCGTACATCCTTGAAATCATCTCTGCAGGATTGTTCAACAGGTTGATCCATCCAATATCTCAGAAAAAAACCTTTCGGCTTATAAATTCAAAATTCACTTTCATATTTAAAATTCTAACTTTGGTTTCCAGGATCTTATATTTTGATCATATTTCAACAGTAACTCTGATACAATCCAATTACCTCCATAAACTTAGTGAAATTTATCTTAAATCATTTTACAAAATTCAAAAATGTGCCCCTCAAATGGGGTTTAATGATAAAATTTGAAAATCTTAATAATATGGGTATCCATTCAACTGACTTGAAACCCGGAGTTCAAAACAATTTATTCCTATTCCCTGGGGGCACATCTTTGAATTTTGTGAAAAATGTATTATATAAACTTGTCTTAGTTTTCCTGTAAAATTAATTTAGAAAAATTTTACACCCTTACTCCTAATTATCAGTCTAAAATCTTGAACTTTGGAGAGAAATATAAATTGAAACGTTTCTTTAAAAATATCTATATTTTAGCATTAATAAATGTTAAGAATAAATACATAATTTATAAGTACACAAAATTTACAGGATTTTCAATCTTCAGAATTCATCTATATATACAACTAAACGAAGATTGAACAAAGCTTTTTTTGTAAATGAAACCCTATTTGTTGACATAAACTTTGCTTGGTTTATCAAAAATTACGTCCTTCTATAATAAACACTTGGGCTACGCTCTCGGGGTTAAAATTGAATCCCTTTGGAATTAAAATTTTAATTAATTATAAAAAAATAATCATGATAATTATTTCGTTTCCCTAAGCCACTTTTAGAGTGAGTGCAATGCAGAAAGTTGAGTCCTCCCATATACTCAATAAAGGCCCCCCCCCATCCATAGAACGTGTTTGTCTTCCGAAAAAATCTGAATTCTTAGTTGTATCCATACTTTTCCCCTGTATAAATATTAATTTCAGTGCTCTACCATGCTAAGATTGCACTGCCAAATTAATAACGGTACACTTTAAACCTTTGGCTGATTATCTCTCAAATGTTGTTTGAATTACCATAAAACTGGAGTGTACACTGACTAACAGTCTAAACTCAACACAGCTGGCAACTAGTGCTACATTATTATATTATTGTATGTAATATAAGGTTTTTAAAAAGTTGAACGTAAATATTTATTTTCTGCAACTTCTAGAAAATAAATATGCATATTTCTCTAAAGCTTACATGAGTTAAAAACCATGTGTTCAGAAATTACGAGCATTTCTGTAAATGAAGAAGGATAAGTACCACATACTTGATCAGTCAAAACGGGTACAAGATAGTACCCATGAACAAGTGTATTTTGTTATGTCCCGGTAAAATATCAATCTGTTATGTATTATCTGAGGGGGGGGGGGGGTATTTGTATTATCATGCACTATTTTTGCAATAGATTGGAAAATAACTTGCACTGTATCATTTCCTTATGAAAGTGGTGACTGTTGATCATCTAAAGCCAACAAATTGATTTTAGGTGAATGGTAAATGGAAGAATTTGCCTGAAACAGAAAATCAAAATCAAAGTTTGGATAGAAATAACGATAAAGTGGACTTTGACAATATTCTGGAACAATATGGAGGATCCAAGTATTTTTTTTACTCATAACAATATATAATGAAACGTTACTGAGTGATCAAGTTCCTTTAGGGTGGCTGTTTATTTTGTTACTGAGGGCACTAAGGAAAATTTTTTTACTAATTAAAATATTCATGAAGCGGCTTTTAAGTTACTTGGAAATGCATAGAATACCACATTTTTTCTTTTCAGACAAAACTGGGACAAAACACAATAAGACTAATTTCCATGAATTCATTTAAACCATCGCAGGATCCTGTTTGCTTTTGACCAGATATATATAATCTAGAAAAAAGAAACGAAAGAAAACTCAGAAGATCTTAGAAATTGAATATATTGATCCTTCCTTCATTCAAAAGTATCATTCACATGAAGATATGATCGATGCTTTGGATTTACTATCTCAAAAATATCCATCAATCGTTAAAAGGTAAAAAAACGTAAATACTTATAATTTACTGTCTTGTGCTCAGACTTTTTTCATATCTTAATTATCTATATCCAAACATAATTTTGAAAACAAAATAAATGATTTGAAATACTAAGGAGAAAAAAAATAAAAGGTACAGCATTGGTCGGAGTGAAGAAGAAAGGGAACTAGCGGTAATTCAGATTTCAGCAACGGTAAAAACATCTAACATCTAATTTAATTTTATAAGCAAATATCAAAAACACTTTTTGATATTTGCAATGAAATATATAGTTTTAAAATCATGAATATTATTTTGCATATTTAGCATAATCAATCAAAATTTTAAAAATCGATATATGTTAAAGTAAACTAGAATTTACAATTTGAAATCAAGATTTTAGTATTAACAAAAAATGAAGTTCAATACTTTGCTGTTGCTCACATTTTTATTACAGGGTTCAGTCAAAGGAAAAAGGCCACTTCTAGTTCCGATGGTAAAATATGTTGCCAACATACACGGGGATGAAACTGTAGGGAAAGAGCTTCTGATTGGATTAGCAAGGTCAGCCTCTATCTAACTTTTTTTCTATATTTTCTGTATAATTTCCCAAAACCTGTTTTTGATATTTAGATACCTAGCAGAAGGCTATGGTCAGAATTTGAGAATTACCAATCTGCTAAATACGACAGGGAGCAAAACATCCAAATCTAAACTTATGAGATAAAAAAATACTAATTTACATTACTGGCCTTATAGGGCGCTTCGCGCCCATCTTCTAAATCAATTGTGAACATGTTCTCTTTGTGTACATCGTAAAACAAAACAAAAATAATTTGCGGATTTTCACAAAAAATTTAATGGATTTTCAAAATTTTCAAAAATTTAATGAAAATTGTGAACATGTTCTCTTTGTGTACATCGTAAAACAAAACAAAAATAATTCGCGGATTTTCACAAAAAATTTCATGGATTTTTAAAATTTTCAAAAATTTAATGAAGATCGAATTTTGATGGAGACAAATATTTAAAATTTTGATCATTCATAAACCTTCCTTGGGCACGTGATGTCCCACAAAAAATTTGGGCCCGATCGGTTCAGCCGTTTTGACGTTTATTGGATACAAACAAACAAACTAGACACAAAGACGAACAAATAGAAAGACAAGCCAAATTTATAGATAGATACAATTGCAGTTTGATATAAGATTTTAATTAAGTAGAATTAATCATCTGCATGATTGCCTAAATAAGTCTGATCACTACATCACAACTTAAAGGTGATTACTTGGTAACATGATGATTGATGGTCGCTCAGATATTCATCTTGTTCCATCCCTGAATCCAGATGGAAACTTCTACGAATCAAGGGGCCTTTAAGAAGTCACGTTAAAGTTCTTAAATCATTTTTCTTCTCATTGAAATTGTGTAGGATCTGTTACAACTGGAAGTCAAAAATAACATTGATTCAACTGTAGCCTGTTATATATTAACTGAATTAAATTAAATTAAATCGTTAAACTTTAATAGTTTACAGGCATAATATAAATGACGAAGATTTGAATAGAGATTTTCCAGGGTGGAGAGATTTGGGGAAGACGAGGTAAAACATTCTTCTTTAAAGTTAGTATTATTATTGAAATAAATTAGTTTATTAGTTTAATTTTATGCTAAATTTACAAAAAGTTACAAAGACGTTTTTAGATGGGAATTGTTACAAAACCGACAAAAAGAATCTGCATCCGTCATCAGGCAAGTATAATCTTTGAGTTAAATATTTGCTAAACAATGGCATGAAGCCACAACATTTCTTCTTCAGAGCCAGATTCTTTGTTATACAGTGTTTAACCAACTTTTTTCCCTCATAATGTATACAAAAAATTAAAATTATTAAGTACGTACGTCGCGTATACATTATATAGGAAGAAAAGTAGGTGAAATAACGCAGCGACATTTTTTAGATTGCAAAAAAATGGCAACACAAAGATAATTTTAGAAATTAAAAGTTGTTTTGCTTAATTTTGTTAAGTAAAAAACTATATTAGAGCAGAAATAAAACGACCTTAAAAGTTATTCTTTTCTAAATGGAGTACTGGTTGTGGTGATATGGAGTGGACACTTAAATGAATAGTATTAGTGTTAGTGAAGTCCCACTGATTACTTTTCTCCACAAAAGACCAACGATGTTCTTTTAAGTGTTCTAACACCAATTATGCCGTTGTTTTCATCATTGTATCTAATCATTTTATGTATCAATAAAAAATATTAATTTTCAATTTATTTCTTCATGAATGTTTTACATGTCCTTAACCTGACCCCGGTTCTTTTCATGCAATATTTCAGATGGGTCTTAGATAATCCATTCGTTCTCAGTTTAAGCTTTCACGAAGGACGGGTACTTGTAAATTATCCTTGGGATGACAGCCCGGCTGCAGTGGAAGGTGAAAAGGTAATTTCTTAGTTTATATCTATATATAAATTTGGCTTGTCTGTTTGTCTGTTTGTTTGTTTGTCTGTCTGTCTGTTTGTATCCAATGAACGTCAAAACGGCTGAACCGATCGGGCCCAAATTTTTTGTGGGACATCTAGGGACCCCAGGGAAGGTTTATGAAAAATCAAAATTTCAAATATTTGTCTCCATCAAAATTCGATCGTCATTAAATTTTTAAAAATTTTGAAAATCCGCGAATTTTTTTGTGAAAATCCGCGAATTATTTTTGTTTTGTTTTACGATGTACACAAAGAGAACATGTTCACAACTAATTTAGAAGATGGGCGCTTCGCTTCGCTTCTAAGGCTAGAAAGAAGGGCGGGAAGCGCCTTGAATTTCTAGTTTAGAAAAAACTTTAAATTGATCCACCATAAATATTATGACACAAAAACAAAGAACACAAAAAATTTACAAAACAAAAAAAGAAAATTTTTAAAGAAAAACAGTCATGCTAATTTAATTTAGTTTACTACTTTCAAATGTGTTGAATTAAATGTAATGAATTGATTGATATTTCCGTGTTTAGGGTTAGTTGTTCTGAGATGGAATTTAAAGAATTTAAGCAGCGGTTTAAATCCGCCAAAACCCGGTTTAAATTAAGCGCCGGCTTAAATCTTGAAACATTTGATACAATTTTAAGTGGAACCAACCATATTTAAACCGTGGCTTAAATTTAAACCGCTGCTCAAATTCTTTAAATTCGGCCACTGATTGATTAGTTCTTTTAAGTTTAATGGGACAGTTTTTGTATCAAATATTTTTAACTATGACTCTAATTGACATGAAACAGGTATTGAATTTTGTGACACATTGTAACTAAATGTTATAGGCCTGTTGTCCTGATGATGCTGTCTTCAGTAAGCTGTCCCAGTTATACGCAAATAACCATCCATTTATGTGGACAGGGTAGGAGCAGATAATACCTATTTATGTGGACAGGGTAGGAGCAGATAATACCTATTTATGTGGACAGGGTAGGGAGCAGATAATACCTATTTATGTGGACAGGGTAGGGAGCAGATAATACCTATTTATGTGGACAGGGTAGGGAGCAGATAATACCTATTTATGTGGACAGGGTAGGAGCAGATAATACCTATTTATGTGGACAGGGTAGGAGCAGATAATACCTATTTATGTGGACAGGGTAGGGAGCAGATAATACCTATTTATGTGGACAGGGTAGGAGCAGATAATACCTATTTATGTTCATCATTTATATTTGTCTAAAGCAAAATTACATTAAACAATATAAAAGTTTACAATCTAATAGTAATACTCTTTTCGTTTTATCCATGTTTCCCATTTTGAGATCTGATTATTTTCATATGTGGTTTCTCTACAAGAGAGACTCATGCATTTCAATTGCTTCAGAAACGATGGAGAAGTGAAGGTTTTAAAAGTTCAAAGTCTAAAAATGGAGGGTCAATTGAAATTATCTATGTATTCCATCTATATATAAATTTGGCTTGTCTGTTTGGGTGTTTGTCTGTCTGTTTGTATCCAATAAACGTCAAAACGGCTGAACCGATTGGGCCCAAATTTTTTGTGGGACATAACGTGACCACAGGGATGGTTTATGAATGATAAAAAAATTTTAAAAATGTGTTTTAAAGGTTTTTGAATTTTGTAAAAAAATTAAATTCTTGAAAATCTGCGAATTTTTTTTTAAAAATCCGCAAAAAAATTTTCTTCTTTGTATTTAAACTAGAAATTCAAGGCGCTTCGCGCCCTTCTTTCTAGCCTTAGAGGGCGCTTCGCGCCCATCTTCTAAATTAATTGTGAACATGTTCTCTTTGTGTACATCGTAAAACAAAACAAAAATAATTCGCAGATTTTCACAAAAAATTTCGTGGATTTTCAAAATTTTAAAAAATTTAATGAAGATCGAATTTTGATTGAGACAAATATTTAAAATTTCAATCATTCATAAACCTTCCCTGGGGTCCCTAGATGTCCCAAAAAAAAATTTGGGCCCGATCGGTTCAGCCGTTTTGACGTTTATTGGATACAAACAAACAGACAGACAAACAAACAAACAGACAAACAAGCCAAATTTATATATAGATGAGAACAAAAAGAACATGTTCACAATTTAAATAGAAGTTGGGCGCGAAGCGCCCTAAAAACCTAAAAAGAAGGGCGCGAAGCGCCTTGAATTTCTAGTTTAAGTATAATTCATCATATAAAAAAAATACTTTAAAATCTTATTTTTGACCTTAACTAAAAAAGTTTTCTTTAAAAAAGCTTTTATCAATACTGTCTTTGTGTAAATATAGATTTGATTTCATTATTTATGTAATAAATCCTGTGAAAATATAGATATTTTTCACTCCTTGAAGATTACCCACAGTATTCAGTGTCTGGTGAGTCTATTTAAGAAAGTCTTTTATATGGTCCCCTCATAGCATTTTTTATATAGCTTTAGGCAATAAGGGTTGGAGAGCTCAAGTTTCTTAAATTTGTTTAAATATATTTTTCAAAAACCATAGAAAAAAATTGAAATTGGAACTGTCTGAGAGTCAGTACTTATTGACGAAAATAGGCTTGTTTTACCTCGTAGATAAAATTTGCGTTTAATTCGATTCCATAACTCATAAATAAATGGCTTGTGCAAAATTTTTCAAACATTTTGCAAACATTTGCACATTTTTTGAAACAAAATATGCACTACATCTAGCAGTGCTTTTATTGAATCAAAAATGGTAAGTTATATGTCTTTGAGAAGCTGCAGAGAAGAGTATAACAACCAAATTAGTTTTAATAATTTTTGGAAAAAAATTTTAACAGATTTTTAAATAAAATGTTGACACCTGTTTTTGCCATTGAATGCTTTCCACTAACGTATGACATGTAATGTAATAGAAATATCTAAAACTGGAAATTTTTCTGTTACTGATTATCTGTGCAAAATGGCAACAGTTTGCAAAAATGACATATTTCTTTAACCATAATCTTGAAAAAAATCTTGCTTTGTTTTGCTAAAAAGCTTTTAAAGCAGTGACAAAAAGGCGCAATAAGTAATTATCAGATAAATTAATTATTTTGATTTTTTGTGGAAAACCAATTTTTTTCAAAACTAAATTGACTTTTTCAAGAGCTTTTCAAAAATGTAGAATTTGTCATATTTATCTTTTAAACTACGGATTAATAGGGCAAGCAAAACTAGTTGCATTAAAAAATTGCAAGCTAAAATAGTTTCAATCAAAAAAATAGTCTCAATCTAAAAGATTGCAAGCTAAAATAGTTTCAATCAAAAAGATTGCAAGCTAAAATAGTTTAAATCAAAGAGATTGCAAGCTAAAATAGTTTCAATCAAAAAGATTGCAAACTAAATTTGTTTCAATCAAAAAGATTGCAAGCAAAAATAGTTTCAATCAAAAAGATTGCAAGCTAAAATAGTTTCAATCAAAAAAATTGCAAGCTAAAATAGTTGCAATCAAAAAAATTGCAAGCAAATTTAGTTGCCCAGCCAAGTAGGGGTAAGGTAAAAAAGTGTGCAAAACAAAATGAGTTTTTGGAACGGTTTTTAAGACCATTTTTCTGGTAACTTTGAATTTTAAAAAATGGATTATAATACTTTTACAATGGCAACTATGATAAAGATAGTTTTTCAGTTACACGAGGTTGACTTTATGGGTCGATTCGTAGCTCAGTGTCGGGCTAATTGGTAATCTAAATTTAGATTTATAAATCAAACTGGAGGGATTCAGATATCCTTCCAGGGGGTTAAATTCAAGTGGAAGGATTCAGATATCTTTCAATGGGGTTTATAATTCCGCTGGATAGATACAAATATATATTGGAGAGGGTTTAAAATTCCACTGGAGGGACAAAAATATCCATCTTGGAGTTTAATAATTTGGACTGAAGGGATTCAGATGTCCTGCCAGGTGGTTTATAATTCCACTGAAGGTATTCAGATATCTTTCAAGGGGGTTTATAATTCTACTGGAGGTATTCAGATATCTTTCAAGGGGGTTTATAATTCCACTGAAGGTATTCAGATATCTTTCAAGGGGGTTTATAATTCTACTGGAGGTATTCAGATATCTTTCAAGGGGGTTTATAATTCCACTGAAGGTATTCAGATATCTTTCAAGGGGGTTTATAATTCTACTTGTGGGATTCAGATATCTTTCAAGGGGGTTTATAATTCTACTTGAGGGATTCAGATAACCATTCAAGGGGTTTATAATTCTACTTGAGGGATTCAGATAACCATCCAAGGGATTTATAATTCCACTTGATGTATGCAGATATCTTTCCCTCCAGTGGAATTACAAACTCCCGGGATATCCGAATTCTTCAAGTAAAATTATAAACCCCCAGGAAAGGAAGGTCATCTGAATCCCTCCTGGGGATTAATAAACCCCCTTGAAAGATATCTGAATCCCTCCATAATAATAGGAATTTTAAACTCCTGGATGGATATCTGGATCCCTGCAATGGAATTATAAACCCCCTGGAAAGATATCTGAATCCTTCCAGTGAAATTATAAACCACCATGTTGTTTGATTTTGTTCGTAAAATCTCTATTTTTTGTTTATTATTTAGAAAGTGCCTCTGTCATTCAGATACATTTGATCAAGGAATAAGTAACGGAGCAGAATGGTTAGTTTGTTTCTCTCAATAGATATTTTTAAGTGCATGTTTTGTTTATTACATATAAATAGAACTAGTGCTTACAACAACTAATTTGTTTGTGTTAGAAATGAAGGAGTGAGACCTGAAAAAGATTTTATTGTAGGTATCTAGTGGATAACGGAATGCAAGATTTTAATTATCTATTTTCCAACTGTCTGGAGATCACTGTGGAGCTTTCTTGTTGGAAGAAACCTGAAGAGCATATTCTGAACACAGAGTGGGAAAATAATGTAGACAGTCTCCTAGTTTTACTTGAATCCGCCTGTAGTGGCGTAAAAGGTAAATAATGTAGACAGTCTCCTAGTTTTACTTGAATCAGCCTGTAGTGGAGTAAAAGACAGTCTCCTAGTTTTACTTGAATCCGCCTGTAGTGGAGTAAAAGGTAAATAATGTAGACAGTCTCCTAGTTTTACTTGAATCCGCCTGTAGTGCCGTAAAAGGTAAATAATGTAGACAGTCTCCTTGTTCTACTTGAATCTGCCTGTAGTGGCGTAAAAGGTAAATAATGTAGACAGTCTCCTAGTTTTACTTGAATCCGCCTGTAGTGCCGTAAAAGGTAAACAATGTAGACAGTCTCCTTGTTTTACTTGAATCCGCCTGTAGTGGCGTTAAAGGTAAATAATGTAGACAGTCTCCTAGTTTTACTTGAATCCGTCTGTAGTGGCGTAAAAGGTAAATAATGTAGACAGTCTCCTAGTTTTACTTGAATCCGCCTCTAGTGGCGTAAAAGGTAAAAAGACAAATTTATTTTGTCTTATCTTGGTTATCTTAGGTGAAGACTCGGTCGAATTTAAAGTGTTGCAACGTCTTGGCCTTTGATCATACAACACTAACTTACTTATGTGTTTTGCAGCCCTACTTATAGACATTTTAGAACTATGAAATGTTTTTAACTTTAGTTTTTACGAAGTATTTAGCAACATTTTTGTCAATTTTTGCAACCTTTGAATGACTATATCCAATAAGGAAAACAAGAAGGGTGAAGCGTCCCAAAAACCTAGTATCTAAAAATTTATTTAGGAATTGTCAGTGGAGAAGATGGATCAGCTATGCATGGAGTGTCTGTTTCTGTCGGTAAAGAAAAAGATGTCATTACTTCACGTAACGGCGAATACTGGAAAATTTTGACTCCAGGAAAACAACGTCTTTGATAATTATTTTACATTAAAAACTATAAGGATTGGCGGCAATTTCGTTAATTTTAAACATTTTGCACTGACGTTGTATTTTTATAGGAAGATACCAAATTTATGCATTTCATGAAAACCAATATGGACGTGTTGAAAGCGTTCTACATGTAATAAATGTTTTCGACAGCATAGGTATTCTAATAAGTAAGCTAATGAAGTAATCTATGAAATTTAAGTTGATCTATATCTCTATGTAAGGAAAGAGTGTTCGCTGTGATTTGATGATGCATCTTTGTGCAAAACAGACATTTCTTGTAAATACAGTGAAGGTAAAAAATACTAACTAAATTTTATTTTTTAAGCAAACCATGTTGAATTTATGAAATGAGACTAAATGTTTTACATTTTTTATGATATTTAGGTTGGTTTTTTCATTGATGATATGAAATTCAAGGATGAAGTTTTAACTCTATTTCATGATACTTCACTTATTTCTTTTAATGTAGTGAAAGAGGAGTGCAAAAACTTAAGCGACAATTCTCGGCATATTGTTTACAGCGTAGAGTTTACACTTTTACCTGAGCCTTTGTTTGAGTTCTTTAAAGAGCGTTGGGGTGAACCATTTGTTAGGCGACCTTTATCTGATGTGGAGTCAAAGAAGTTAAATAGAAGAATACACATATATGCATCAGAAAAGTACGTATGGAAATGATTGCTTAATTCTTTCGGACATATTTCTTCAGATGATGCTTGTAGAAAAATCGTCAAATTGTAATACTGAAATTTTGAGTTTAATGTTTAATGACTTGAGTTATTTGACCAATTTTTTCATATTCATACGGTATGGCGTCATACCGTATGGCGTCATAGACATTTCTTCATAAAAATGTATCATTTAACTAGGGGAGGGGGTGCAGAGGCGCCATGAACCCCGCAAAAATGACCTCTAAGTCTCCAGATTTGTATAATGACCTCCAGGCCCTGCAAAACCGTCTCCGTGCCTCTCGCTACGTCTCCTAGCCTCCGCCATTTTGTCTCCACGCCCCGCTTGCTGTTTTTATTTTATGTTTATACCTTTTATAGCTTAACCAACCAAAAATCAAAATGTATCTCTTCAGAGTAGACTCCGCAATAGTTTAAGGAATCGTTTAAACGACAAATTTGATATATTAATTCGTTCAATTGATCCTAAGTTGTTGTTTTTTTTTTGTAAAAAGTTTACATTAAGCTGGTATGCGTAAAAACGACCTTTTCTTTAAAGATTATGTCAACTCTATCAAGTTCTTAGAATTAAATTTAATCATAAAAACGCAAATTATTGAGGGTTCGTCCTATAGATTTACATGGCCCCTGATTTTAGCTATTTTTCAGCCAAATTTAATAGCATGTAAAACTTAAGAACAGGACACGACGAGGGAGGGAATCCCCGGACGCAATGAGCCTCCTCTACGCAGACACGAGCCTCCCAGATTTGCTAGGCAGACCGAGCCTCAGCTGTGCAGTAATGAGGATGCGCAATACATCAAAATGTGCCTGTATAATAGGAGGTTTTTATAAACTTGTGTTTTAAGTTTAAATAAAGATTTTTACAAATTTTTCGACATAGTGGCATGAGAGATTTCTCAAAGATGAGAAGTATTTATCAATTATCATAAATATAGTGCCTAATTATGACAAATACAGTATTATTTAAAACTTTAAACATTTTTTACAAGAAAGGAAAAAAATCTAGAGAAAAAAATTTCATTTCATTTCATTTTATCTTTATAATCTTTGATTTAAGCGATACCTTTTTTTGGAGCTCAAATTTCTATCATTTATTTGAATCTTAACAGTTTTCAAAAAAAGGTATCATTTAAATCACAGATTACAACAAAACAAAACTTAGTTTACTCTAGAAATATTTCTCCAAATATAATGAAATGTTTAAAGTTTTAGTATAAATCTTATAAACCACTGTATAATTCATATATGTTTCTAATCATGACAATCAATAGATAAATCAAATCTTTTGTAAAACATTTTAAAAAGCTGTGCTGTATAGTGGAGGCTCGTTTACTGCATAGCGGAGGCACGGTCTTCATAGCGGAGGCTTGTTCTGCATAGTGAAGGCTCGGTCTGCCTAGCAAAGCTGGGAGGCTCGTGTCTGCATAGCAGATGCTCATGGGGTCCAGGGGGTTCCCTCCCTCACACAACGCACGCTGCCCTGTCCTGTTAGTAAAGCATGTTGTAGATATTTAGACTGTTTAAATTTTTTTCAACTTTTTTAAATATTTTTTCAATGTTTTCTTAAGCATATAATAAAAGCACAAATTCAAGGATTTTACAAAAACTACAGTGTTTTTTTAATTGTCGTTGATATCGTTTGATTCGTACATGAAACAATTGTAAAAAAAATTATAAAATTTGTCGTTCTTTATGCAAAACTGCAATACTTCTTCACAATTTAAGAAACTTGTGAAATTAAGAAAAAAAATAAACCTTTAATCTAAATCAAAATGGACTTTAAAAGCTTAATATAAAAGCTTAATATGTAAAAGCTTAATATTTTTTTTGGAGACCAAAATGCGGGGCGTGGAGACAGAATGGCGGAGTTCGCGGGGCCTGGAGGTCATTCTGCAAATCTGGAGGCTCGGAGGTCCATTTTGCGGGGCTCATGGCACCCCCCTCCCTCGGTGAACTTGCTTTGACCAGCAATTAATGTTGATCATAATATAAGCCAAGCCATTAAATTCCTTTTCACTTATTGCAAATAGTCTTTAAGAAAAGAATAAAAAGATCAGATTGTTATGAGATGATCTTCAATTTTGAGATGTGTAAATAATTCTTGCTTCTTTTAAGGTGGTGTGGACGGAAAGAAGACTGGAGTATAAAACTGAAAGAAAGTATTTAATGTATCTATTTTTGTTTACATTATTATAATATTTACATTTTTTGATCAAAATCATATTATTCTCCTGAGATTTCTATTTTTATTTCAAATTATTCATAATGTATTTATGTACTATTAAAACATTCTACTAACTACTTGTTGTATAAATAAAAACGACAATTTAAGAACACAATAGCTAAATAGACGACAATATACGACGATATGATAAAAGTAATTGAAATAAAAGTATTTGTAGCGGTTTATCAAAATTTCCTTTGATAAATCTCTGGTCTGTTTAATTTAAACATAAATATGTATATACATATGTACTAATTTTTTGTTTATTTGCTAACAAGAAGTCCCAATAAATATATCTTAAGTTTTGATATTTTACAGAAAAGGGAAAATGTTAAGGGTAGCAACTTTAAGGTTTTAAAATCGACCAGAAGTCAGATGTGTACACATCTTCTACTCAAGTTTTTAAAAATAACTAAAAATAATCACGCCCTAATTTTCTTATATTTTTGGAACCTGAGATCGGAAATTTAGTTTGGATTGTTAATCTTGAACGTTTGATCTCGATATCTAATGCGGGCACTTTGGGAGTCAAGCTTGATTTATAAATTAAAGTTAAAAATATCTAATTTTATTACTACCTTGTATTATTTTATGAGAGAACATTTTTTTCGCCCATCGTATTTAATATGAAATTTGAATCCTATGAATTAATTCAGAAATTTAAAACGAGCGAATTTCCTTATTTAAAATAATGTCTTCCTTATGATATTTTTAAATTGACATGTATTTTTGAGACCTCCTGTACCAAGCGTTGTCGTTAGTTAGGTGTTATCTGATTTATTCCTTCTTTAGAAGTTGTTGGAGTTAAAATGTTCTCGCACGATACTAAACAAAAAGCAGTTATTAATATCTTTTTTTTTAATTTGTTATAAATGTTACCTAGTGGAGCTCTAAGGTTGAAAATATCAGGGGAATCTCCCAAACGTTGTTTTTCCAGTTTTCCTGTTTGAGGGTCTAGTAGGGTAAAGCCTAAAGACGCTACACTCTTACTACGTGCATCAAAAGCTGTTGACCTCTAAACATTTTAGGACAAGAAAAAAATTAGGATAGGACAGTAAGTATATCCTTTTTTTTAGAAAACGTTCCCACTAAGAAATGGGGTATTCCTAGGGGGTATTCCAAGGGGTATTCCTCTAAGATTACCCAAACTTTTAGATTAATTACATCACAGCTTATTTTACATCACGTGTTATTAGCTAAACAACAGAAAGGCTTAACATCCATAAGATGTTTTTCTAACCTTTTAGTGGGATTGGAAATAGTTATTTACTATTTGATAAAATGCTGCGCATGGACTTTAATTCATAGTGACATAACCAACTTGTACCTGATGCAACGACGCAGATTTGTGTCTACGAGATTCACTAGATACTTGGTCAGGAATATCTAGCAACACAATTTCCCAGATATTTCAATTGTGATTTTCGTAAAAGGATCATAAAAGCAAAAAACTTGTTGATGTTAGTTTCCTTAAATAATGCCCAAAATAATTAAATATTTAAAAAGTTAAAATTTAAATTTTGCTGGCTGTTAAAAACTAAAATTGGATAAATTTTTTAAAAACTCAAATCGGACCTAAATTGCAATATTAAAACCATAACCTCGTTATTTAGAAACAGTCCGTATTCATTCGCAAAAGGAATTGAGTCTTTGTCACAAACTCTGATTTTCTAATCCGTATACCCAATGACCTTAGATATTTCAAACTATAACTTCTGTAGTGTCAAATAATCTAAGTTTGAAATGTCAAAGGTTTACACCATCAGGTTACAAAGATATATGGCATTCGAATATTTGATTTTGTGGCAAACAATCAATTCCTTTCTAGTTACTCCGGGTTTTCACCATTAAACTGAGATTTCATTGGAAACGGCTAGAAAAAAACGTTGTAAAATTAGAAATTGATAATCTTCCTTCTGTTGAAGATTGGACATCAATAAGAGGAATGTTGTCGGCGTCATTTAGAAGAGAAGCTTTTGTGTTTACCGATGATACGTTGTTTTGGTTTTCATCTTCCTTCAATAAGCAATTCTTCTGCAGCATTTGGTGTTTCAGATTTTTTTTCGATTTGGTGGTTTCTGAATTTGTAACATCTTCTGATTGCTCACTATAATTATATTTAATAAGTTGAATACCAAAAACTCAAATGAAAACATTAATTTACAAAAAAGGGTTTTTTAAATTTTCACTTAAAGGGAGTGTTCGCGAAAAATAAAAGGGGGTATAGGTTGACGTCGAGTTGAATTCGATATTCATCGCTACTAATTTTACGTCTATCTGTTACGTGTTAAGGAGAAAATGGTTAAAAACGATGCATACCGAAGATTCATACAAATTCACGGAGTTGCATTTTTCCACTCAGATCATAAATAATTAAGTTAAATTTCAAACTACTCATTTATATATTACAACCTACAATTGTCGAATTCAATTCGATGCATTCATATATATGTAGTAGATATTTCATGAAACTTTTTTTCATTAATATTTCAATGACTACTTCTTACGGCTGGCGCTGGATTTTCAAACATTCCTGGAAAATATGAAAATGTCGTCTTTATAATCAAAAATCCTCGAAAGGAATTGATTCTTTGTTACAAACTCGAATTTTCTAACCCTATATCTGTGCAACCTAATGGGGTAAACCTTTCACATTTCAAACTACTATTATTTAATCTACGCTAATTCATAGTTTGAAATATCTAAGATTTATGATATTAGGTTGCAAATATATAGGGATTAGAAAATCAGAGATTGTGGCAAGGACTCAACTTCTTTCAGGAATGATTCGTTTCAAACGTAACGCTCGGATCATATAAAAGAAAAAAGAAAACTGATAAGGGAACAGCTTAATACAGTGTCCAAAACTACGTTACACAGTACACAATATACACTGTACAGTATTTCCATTCAGATAAATATAAATATTTTAATATTTTAATTTGAAATATTGTTTCTCACCTACAGTATTCACAGAGGTCAAAATCACAGGGAAAACAGTTCAATCTAAAAATGCAAATCTCTTAAAAATGCCACTTTTTACAATCATTTCAAATGTCAAATATTATTGCTTTAGTCAGCGACATTTATTGTTTTAGACAACAAATAAAGTAAAAAATTGTCAACAATTTAACAATATTTAGCAGGCTTTTGTTCATTCTGATCTCACATAAATCATGCAATAATCAATGTACAGCGTATCCGAAAACAAGACAAAATGTTGACTGTATCAATGTTTTAAAAATCGTTCTGAGAGATAACATCAATGGCTTGATTTTTGCGTGGGAGTTGGCATGCCTATAAAGTATTTCAATCTTCATGCTCTAGACATACTTCATACAGTATTGCATGATTTGGGAAATGTTGAGTCATACTTCCTATAATCAATACAAACAATACTATGTTTAGAATATTCCAAGGTCCAGGTAAAAGACGGAGCGGATTATTTACTAAAGATATTTGGAAGGAAATATTTAACCTGTTTTTTCCTGTTGACTGAATTAACTTGTTTTTATTTGGACAAAGTATAGAATCAGAGTCACAGGAAAATCCAGGACCCTAAATAATTATGACAATGATCAATAACAATGCTTTAACAATTTAAAAGAAGGAAAGGATTTAGATTTCTAAATACTTTTCAAGGTTTGTGCCTGCATATACATTCTGATACATTGATATTGAGCAAGAGCTCATTAAAGGAAACAAGTATATACACATAACAGGAATAGGATGATAATTCTTAGGTGGATCCGCATTTGAACTACTGCCGTTTGAACCATTGTTTATTTGAACTATTGATTGTTTGAACTATTATTCATTCTAACTACTGATAATGGCGTCATTTCTTGTAGTTCAAACAACACATTATTTACTTATTTGAACTATCAAATTTGCAGTTTAAAATTTTTATATTTCATGAAGAAATAATAGCTGTCAAACAATCATCACAGTATAGTTTAAATGATCAAAAAATATTTCAAAAATGACTTATATAGTTCAAATGAGCAAAAAATAGTTCAAATGAGCAAAAAAATAGTTCAAATGAGCAACAAAAATAGTTCAAATGAGCAAAAAAATAGTTTAAATGAGCAAAAAAAATAGTTCAAATGAGTCATATGAACTATTTTTTTTTGGCTCATTTGAATTATGTTTTTTGCTCATTTGAACTATTTTTTTGCTCGTTTGAACTATTTTTTTGCTCATTTGAACTATTTTTCTCCTTATTTGAACTATACTTTTTGGGTCATTTGAACTATATTTAATAGTTCAAATGAACAAAAAAATAGTTCAAATGCGCACATAATGTGAGCGTTTGAACTATTGGTTGTTTGAACTACTACACGTGGTACCACGTGCAATAGTTCAAACAACCAATAGTTCAAAAAGTCAATAGTTCAAACGGCAGTAGTCCAAACGCAATAGCATCTAATTCTTAGACTCAAGTTATGGTTCTAAATGAATATGAATGAAGAAAATGTTCACTGGAAAAAGACCTATTTCATCTAATAAATTTATTTTTTATCTACTGGTAAAAACTATTGGCTTTCTTATACTATAAACTATGCACACGTGACAAGATTGCTTTAATGTAGCCTATTCTACAATTTTATGGTCTTTATTGTATCTTTGAATTATTCAGTAAAACAATGGTAATATATAGGGTGGATAAAACAATGGTAATATATAGGGTGGATAAAATAAAACAATGGTAATATATAGGGTGGATAAAACAATGGTAATATATAGGGTGGATAAAAAGAGTTGGCGGATAAGTAAAAGTCTAAAAAAGTGTCTTTAAAAAATATTTTCATATAAAAAAAACAGGAAAGTGACCTCTGGCTTTTATTATTATAAATGCACTTCAATATTAGGAAAACATTTTTCCTCAGGATGTAAGGACAGTACTATTCCTAGTCAATTTTACTTTCATGAAGGACTATTTGGATGTCTATGAGGTCAGAAAAGAGCATGCCCCACACACCCTTTCTAAGCATGTAACTTTGGAGCTGAAGGAAGTGCGGTCCCCCCCGAAGGAAGTGCGGTCCCCTCTGAAGGAAGTGCGGTCCCCCCTAAGAGCATATGAAAAAGTAGACAACCAAATTAAATATCACTTGGTTAATAACTACAGGAAGTTCTGTTGTTTCTCAGCAATGGATGACGAGGGAGTCAGCTGCGAAATATTGCACTGGCATTCAAAGTCTAATCTGTGTCTTTCATATGAATCATTTATATAGAAAATAAATAATGTAGTTTTTCCATTTATGAAAGTTGTAAACTTGTAATACAATTGTAATATCTTAATCTCTGCTACAAAATAAATATTTAGATCTAAAAAAATAATTGAACATAACTCACAGAATGGTTTCAAATAACAATTTTGGGGTTGGAGGATGGAATAGCTCAAAATGAGACTTGTTCTGAGTCCTCGGACGTCTGTTAAAGCAATCTTTTGCAAAAACCACGACAACTCTAAACATGTTTTTGGGCCAAAAGTGGAATTTTTCGGTAGTGGTATGACTAAAATCCAATATTTGTTCTCATAAACCTCCAATGATCTCATAAACCTCCAAATCGTGTTCCCAAACCCTTTCAGCCACCTGTTTCCAAATTTGAGGACTGCATTTAGTTTCCAAGAGATTTGCTAATTGTAGTTTTCTCAACCCTGCCAAAAAAATCATCCTGACCTCAAACATTCCAATAGCACGTCCTCAGACCTCTTTTTTTTAATCCAGGTTGCCGTGCAAAAAGTTTACCTGACAGTCTATTTTAATGTGTACATATTCACATTTTGCACAAATATCATTCAGTAAGCAAGGCATTTAAGGCAAATGTCCTTTATTAACACATGGGGACCCAAATACAACCCGCAAACTCTTTTGATCCGCCAATACTTACTTGGGCGGGCCAGTATTTAAGTTTAGCTGAACATCGTAAGCATGTCAGTGTGGCATGAACAGAAAAGGAGCTAAGTTGGGAGGTATTCCTACTGGCACACTGGATCCTAAATACATTAAAAAAGTAAAATTCTTTCTTTTAAATTCAGATGCTTATTGAATATTTTTCTTCATAAAGCTGATAATTCTTTTACAGTTTGGGTTCTGCTTTTCTGTAGAAAATGTGCTGTATAGTGTTACCCCACATGGTGCTTTTGATATCTCATGAATTTGAATTTTTTTAACTCTTGAATTTATTCAGAGAGTTATATGAATTGGAATGTTTAAACCTTTCTTTTAAAGCTGAATAATTATTTAAATTTTTAAATGTTTGTAAAATCGGTTTCAGTACCTATGCTCTCCAGTAGTCCAAATAGTGTGATGAACTTTGTCCAGACATAAATAGCAAACTATCATATCTTCCTATTGTATTAATTTTAAGTCAGTAAAAGATTATGAAAAGGAAGTTCCAAAGAATTATAAAATGTGCAATACTATAAATCTTAAAATTAACATAATTTAATGAGCATATTTCTAAGATGTAATCAAATAATGCTTAACTTATAACTTTTTTGTCTAACAACTGGAACACTGTAACTTAAGGTAACTGCAGTGCAAACCTTACAATTCACGTTTCACTTGTTCGTAAAAATGACGAACACTACCACAAAATCATATCATGCGTGAAGTTAGCAAAGTCATGTTTAAATTAAGAGAAGAAAAAAATATCAATACCGAACTACCACACAGCTTTCCGAGACAACCACACCATTCATTCATGCTGAACCTGAAAACGTTAAAATTTAACGTGTCTAAACTGTAAATTAAAAACAAACACTTACAACACAGGAAACAATTTGTCATCTAAATTTTAAGTGTTGAAAAATGTACAAAGGAAAAATTCTTGCAAGCAAATTGAAACTACAAAACACAGATACACTACTTCTAAACTGATGTAATATAAGTAGCTTCTAGTGTGGTTGGTATTTTATTACAATTTACATTTTCAAGAAAATTATGAATTAACCATGGTTTAAACATTTAGAAGCCTTGGAAATTATATGCGCGTGTTATAAAACATATTTTCGCGTTAGAATATGTATTTTTCTTCCATATAATATTTATATAATATTTATATAATTCATGCTTTAGCTGTATCTTTTTAGGGGGGGTCCAAAAATCGTTCTCTAGGAATATACCAAATACAGATTTTGTCACTAAAATTTCATCGCTGCAGGTATTTCCGCAAGTTAACATTCTGCATAAAGGACCCCTAATGAAACTCTTAATCCTCAGGTGGTTTTCATTTTCATTTTCAAAAAAAAACCGGATTCGAGGTTCAAGGTCCAAACTAGCTATCAGAGATGTTTTATACTTAAAAATATTTTTCTGGTGGTGCTTAGAAAAAGCCGGTATTCAGAGGACTGGGAATAGGGCGGGGTATAGCGAGGTTTCTGCAAAAGTGGCTCTTCCTGAGTCACGTGATCTCTTCCCAGTCACGTGACCGTTATTGATTGTCTGACTGAGAAGAGTCGAGTCTTGATTTGATGTATTCTAGCTTTGAAGACTGAAGCAATGGATTCTTTTGATTTACTTTTTACGTAATCTCATCAAGAAACCCAATATCATAGATGTTTTTCTTCTCTTTTTTTTTTTTTTTTTGGGGGGGGGGGGGGTTTGGATATGAGACTTTAATGTAAGATTTAAATTTTTCAGTTTTTTAATTAATTTTATATTTCAAGACAAGTTTCACCTTCCCTCCAGTCTTTCCTAACTTCCAACAAACATTTCCTAAAAAGTTTCCACCTAGGTTGCATAGGGTTAGAGATTTTAACAATTTGAGTAATATAGTTCATTTGTGAGCAAGGAAGTATGAAGTATAAAAGGTGGGGCTAGGGGGTGGTTTCCCATCTTTTAGAATTCATTAAAACAGCTGCCGCTCCGTTGTGCAATCTTTTGCATTGCAACTGTTCTCCAATTTTTAATGCACGGCATTCTAGAAATTTTAACTGAAGCTCGAACCTTCATTGCTTTTTTTTCATTTCAGAGATATTAAGTTTAAGCTGAGTTTTTCTTTTTCTTAAATGTTTATCTCGAGCTTAAAATGCTCATCGACCTAAAAAATAATAAAAGATTTTGAGCTAGCTTTATTTGAAGGATAGATAAAGTAGGATTTCCAAAATAATTTTATTATGCGTGCCTACTGCCTACTGCCTATATGAGTTTCTATTTGACGGGCCAAAGGTTATGAATTTAAAGTTTAAAGTAAAAGCTTTTAAGTACAACTTTTTTTGTTCATTCCTTCAAAATGTCTTAATTATGTAGATCTGAGATGTAAATAACCATTCAATTAAAATCTCTTTTTATTTTTGTCTTTGTAGAAATTGTTTAAATCTAAAGAAAAATAGATAGAATAGAAATTAATTGGAATGTCGTCCTAAAATGACAACCAGATTAATTTTCTTCTTCTTCTGTTTGAAGAATATTTGCGACTGGAATAATAAAATAATTTTTAAACTGTAAAATTACAAATATCTCATAAATTGAAAATACATTTATATGAATTTACGCACTTTGATTTTTGGTGTATACTGTGCTGTTATGCCGTATATAGTCTATGTGCTATTATACTATCACAACTTGCCCTAGCAGCCTGAAAGTCTACCGGTACTTAAAATGAATCTAAGTTTTATTTGATGGTACTAGTAGTCTCAAATTTCAATTTCCATAGCCACCCTCAAGATCACATTTTTTGCATCCACTTTTTCCCAACATTTTAATGGTGATTTTTACAGAATACAAACAGAATACAATGATCAAATTCAAAGGCTGACACTAAAACCTCGTCATTCATCATACTGCTTTTTACACGATACATTACAAGTAAGAACAGACGTTTTGATTGATTGCAGATAGGGTTGTTAATCGTTTTTGAAAACGATCGTTAAACGATAGTTTTTTTTCGTTTTCCTATCGTTTTTTGTTTCGTTTTCCGATCATTTTAAAAACAATCGTTTTAAAAACTTTTTAAAAAACGATATTTTTTAAAACATCGGAAAACGAAACAAAAAACTAAAGGAAAACAAAAAAAACGATTGTTTTCAAAAAAAATTAAAACGTTAACATCCATAATAGCAGATTGCTTAATTTTATATCCTGTAAAAGCTTTTCAGAAAAGACTTTGTGTTGGTTGGAAAACTTGCAAGATTTAAAAAATTTAATGTGATAAAAGTGGTATCAATAGCTGAGAACTTATATATATATATATATATATATATATATATATATATATATATATATATTTATGTAAGCTGCTGGTTAGGGCCAAGCCCATGTGTACCCTGGGGATAACATCTAAATTTTTTTTAAATTTCAAATGCTACGTCGGGCAGTCATAGTATTCTAATCTATTTTGTCTTAGAACTTTTGTCTAGCCTTTTGTGATTCATTTATAAGCCTCAAAGGAATTGAGTATTTGCCACAAACTCTGAATTTAAAATCCCTATATCTTTGGAACCCAATGTCGCAAATCTTTGATATTTCAAACTACATTATTTGATCTAACAGAATTCATAGCTTGAAATATCTAAGGTCTACATCATGGAATCCAAAGATATCGTGTTTTAAAAAGCAGAGTTTGTGGCAAAGACTCAATTACTTTGGGCCTTGGTTTGTAAATTTTGATTATAGTCTTGTATGTTACATTTTTATCCAATGTTTTTTAACACAAAGGGTCAAAATAGATTATTCTAACAGTTGCTCTTAAGTTTATACAGCCAATGACCATGAATGTACATCAAAACAATTTGTTTTAAAAGTAAAATATTACTGAAAGAAAATAGAAATCAGCCATAATACCGAGAAATCTTCGCCAACTTTTTCAGTTAAAGATGGGGCTTTGTACATTGGATCTTCAATTTACTTCTAAAAATAGGAGCAAAAGGGGAATTTGGAATTTCAAAAACTTTTAAATTTTTGGTCTCGACAAATATAAAATTTTACTTTTTAAACAAAAATGTGTATACACAGCCATTGTCATTAACTACATAAAATTGTGTATATTTTGACCATCTTTAAATCAGATATAAAGCTTCAGGGAAAAAATGTAGACCTCCTCCAGAATTGTATAGGTCCAAATTTTAGACTTCTAAAACAATGTGATAACTTAACTTAAATTTCACAATGGGACAATTTGCACAGAAATTATCTGATCGTTCTGGCCCAAAGGTATTGAGTCTTTTCCACAAACTCAAATTTTCTCATCTCTTTATCTTAAAGGTATAAACCTTTAATATTTCATACTTAGATTATTTGATCTAGTAAAATTCATAGTTTGAAATATCTAAGGTCTATGGCATCAGGTGGCAAAGATATTGTGACAAAGACTCAATTCCTTTGTAGACATTTTGAGCACAAGACAGGCTTCAAATACATTAACCATCCCTTTTAACCAAAATTATCATATTTCAATGTATTAATCAAAGTAATTGAGTCTTTGCCTGCATAAACTCTGATTTTTTAATCCCTATATCTTCAGAACCCAATGTAGACCTAAAACATTTCAAACTATGAATTGTGTTAGTTCAAGTGATCTATGTTTGAAATATAAAAGGTTTACACCATTAGGTTGCCAAAATATAAGCATTAGAAGATTTGAGTTTGTGACAAAAATTCCTTTGACAATAAAAAAAGCAGCAAAAAGTACAAGTAAATTATATTTTTGTAACAAATAAATCCCTAAATCAAATGGATGATTGTACAATGAACTTCTGTACAAAAGACACAATTCATACATATAGCATTTACATAAATATCTAAATCTTTGAATTCAAACATGACAACGTAAAATTTTCAATCCTCGGAGGAATTTCATCTTATAAAAAACTTTCGTTATGCCTCTCCAATTAATGATGGCACAATTACTACGGAAAGATCCGAATTTTTCTCTTCAAGATACTGATCCTCGCTATTCTCACAAGATGAGGGAGATCGAGAGTCATGTTCGAATTCGCCAAGGTTCTCTGAATTATTCTCGAATATGGATGCTCTGTAAATGGGCTCAGTTCCTTCAGATTCTCCTAAATCTTTTTTCATTTTTTTTGATTCTTCTGAATTAATCTCAAAATTTTCAGGTTCTTGTAAATCTTTTACAAAATCTATTGTTCTTTTCAAACCTCCTTCGGTTGCTCCTGAATCTGAATTGATTTTTTTGGGCTCAACTGAATCTTTCCCCAAACCTTTTGAGCCCAGCCTAAATCCATGACATTCTTTAAAATACTGTTTGAACCTCTCTGTTTCTCCTGAGACCTTTTCAAATTGTTCTGTTTCTCTTAAATGCTGGTCAAATGTTTTTGGTTTTTCTGAATGGTGAAAAAATAAGAATTCATTCTTCAGTAAACTTTTTGCAGGCATCTCAGTCCCGGAATCTTCATGTGTTCTGGGTTCTTTATTATGTGCAACCTGAGAATCCAAAACTGTTGAAGAATACTGCCCAAATAAATCTGGTGGATCAAATATGTACTTCTGATCTTCTGACTTACTTTCTTTGTTTTGTTCAGAATTTTTTTTTAAGTTTTCATAATTGTTCTGGGGTATAAACGCAATATCATCTTTTTCGAAATATTTCAATTTAGTTGTATATTTTGTGTTTTCATTTGAATATTCTAGCTCCCTAAGATTTATAAAAGCGCTAGCATAGTCAACTAGTTTAACATTTTCCTCTTTTACAATTTTAAACTTTCTTGCTTTATTAGATAAATGCGCATCTAGCTTCACTTGAGAACTGCAGTTAGGTAACTGAGAATCTAGAAGTTCTGACTTATCCAATTCTGAACTTATATTTTCTTGATGAACTTCCTGAGACAGTAGGTCTACAATTTCCTCACCAGAAACAAAATCATTTCCTTCTGATTCTACAGTAATAGAATTGTGTACTTTTCCCCCGCTCTGTTCTGGTTTGTTGGACACGCTGCAAACATCTTTTATCAGGGTTTTCAGAACTTTTGAGGTTGCAACCTCAGTGTTCGAAATTTCAATATCTGAATTTCCTGAATCATCCTCAGAAGATTCTGTTATTGCCTCCTCATCATCTGGTTTAGATTCATTTTTTTCTGACCACCAGACCTGATCCCATCCCAGTGTTGAATTTTCAGTCCCATATAGCTGAGCCAGATACCCGATGTTTCTGTTAAAGTAACCAGGATGCTGCAGATACTGAGCCTCTTCAAGTCGAGTTCTCATAATTGTCTTGACAAAGTGGGTTCGAACCTAAAACGTATTGATAGTATTTTTTATATATTATTAAAAAAACTAATTTATACAGCATAACGATTTGTCCATTCAGTGATAATGATAATTCATAGAATTTTTTTTTACTATTTTGTAGTCTTCACATCATTAGTTTAGTATTACGTATTAATATATCATATATATTATATTCAAAATTGTAAGTTGCTTATAAGCAAAATTAGAAAAGTAAAAGTCCATTATTAAAAAACATGCAGTTTGAAATAAGACTACTCAAATTTACATGTTAAATATATATTGTAAAGGTAAGTAGAAAAATTAAAATAATTGTAATATAAAATACCTTAACAGGATTGAACTCAAGTCTTCCCGCAGGATTTGTACACAAGTCTTGCGCACATGCACAGGGAAATCCTGGACGATCAACCTGGCACATGATACCACCTCGGGCACACTCACACGTGTCTGGTACACACGACCCAACGCAAGAACATCCACATATTTGTCTTGACAACCGTAGTTGTTTGCACTCTTCTTTCTCTCCAGGATCTATTTCTTCAACGCCGGCTTCACGTAACACCAATCTTCGTTCCTTACTGTCTACAGGAAGCAGAACATTCACATCTCCATCCTCTACACTTTCTCCTCTGGAGTCGGGTTCTAAACTTCTTTTCTGAGACAAATGTTCATCTAAGCTTGATACTTCCACAAAAAAATGATCATTCTCCATTCCGAGTGTATTACCACCCTAAAATAAAATATAAGTTTAGGTTTGCTACAACAAAGGACTGCCATAGAAAATAATGCATTTAATTCGAGTTTTTCTAGTACAATTACATTACGTATGCCTCCTGTTTTAAGTTAGTTTCGACAATCTGGGCTATGACAGGCCTAAAGTTGTGTCTGGAAGCACTTTGAAATTTAGGAGGTATACAGTTTATTTAAAAATTTGTTTTATGTATGTTAAACAGGGAGTAAGGAATAGAATGGAGATACAACTGACGCGATTCGCCCTATCATATGATTATGCATGCTTTGCAGACGGGTACTCCATTTTATAAGAAATATTCAGAATAGGTTATTGTATACGCGTAATTGTATTCAAATAAAGTACCATCTGCAAAGCATGTATAATCAAATGGTAGGGCGAACCGTTAATTGTACATAAGACAAATATTTCTTATTCAAATAAAGTACCATCTGCAAAGCATGTATAATCAAATGGTAGGGCGAACCGCTAATTGTACATAAGACAAATATTTCTTATTCAAATGAAGTACCATCTGCAAAGCATGTATATGGTAGGGCGAACCGCGTCAGTTGTATCTACCATCTATTCCTTACCTGATGTTAAACTATTGTAAAGGTTAATATTAAGAAACTAATATTATGAGGCTGACTCGTTTAAAATGTTTCTTCAACAAACGCGTATATGTACTTATAAACATTTCGAAAAATAGGCTTTCTATTTCAACTTTTAATTGTGGTTTTATCTGCGAGCATCTTCTATTTGTACAGTATAAAATTTTTTTTTAAGTTCCCGGATTTCATAATACATTTTCGCGCAATTTTTAATTTTAATCACTCATAAAACTTCCATGGAGTCAGGCGAGGTCCCACACAAAATTTGAGCTCGATCTGTTCAGCCGTTTTGACGTTTATTGGATACAAACAAACAAACAGACAGACACCCAAGCTAAGAATGTAAGTAGAGGGAATCAAGACTAAATTTCAATAACGTGGCAGGGTCTAGAAGTGCAAAAGATTTTTTGCCAAATTGCCACTCACCCTTAAGGAACTGAGAGGGGGCAAAAATGTTGCCATGCATTCAATCACAACACTTTTTTATTTAAAAGCGTTAGCTATTTTTACCAATTTTGTATATCAGTAAAACACAAAAAAGTGTCTGTATTTTGTTTTCATATTCAAATTTTCTATAGGGGGTCTTAATAAAACTTTTTATCAAAAACCTTTTTATTGATAAAAAGAGAGTCAAAATATCAAAATTTGTAAACACTCAAACTTTCTAATCCCTATATTTGCAACCTGATTGTAAAAACCTTTGATATTTCAAATATTGATTTCAAATGTGGGAAACAAGACCCCCTGGAAGAATCAAAATGATATAGCTTAAACTTTGCATATAAATTAAACGTTCACAAACAAAGGATTTTAAACCAAGCTAAAAACATTCTCGTGGTTCTATCGAGTTAAATTTAGGCAAACCGGCCATGGGATTCATGAGTTACGATCGGACATACAAACAGACAGCCAGAGATTACCACTGAATACATAAATGATGGTTATAAATTATAACTGCAAGGTTCCCTAAAACTAGTCAATACTAATTTATACGAATTGTACACACCTGAGATGGAACGCAAGTGAAACCTTGTCTCCTATTAAAAAAATAAACAGAGACATCTTGAAATATAACTTTTCGTTTCTTTTTGCTTGGTTCTCCCAGGCCGAGAGGGCTAGAATCCACCCTTCTTTTATACCCGGCCATCCTACACTGGCAACCTCCCAGCCTCTACACCCGGCCTCGACTTAGATCAATGCCTAGACTTCCAGCCTCCAAGTTAACTCCCGTTTTCAATATTCACTCCATCAATTTTACAATATTTTACAAATTCTTGTTAAATATTATTTGTTTGAAAAAGGAGCTGCAATCGTATTTATGGTATTATATTTTCAGTAAATAGTTCGGTTTAATCGAACCCATAAACGTTTAAAAACCATCATGCATTGTTAGCACTTAAAAAAAGTTCAATTTTCCAAAGATCTTTTTGCGTGATTTTGGCATCATTTCTGGGGTTAGGAAACAAATTTAAAAAACTGAATAACGTTATTTACAGTAATACTTTCTTTCTCACAGCTTAGTTTTAAGAGGGATTGTCTGATAAGTTCACTTAAGAAAATTATATGAATAAAAACACTTGTAATATGGAAGGGTGTATTTGATCGACTAGTTTACATAGTTAAAAAAGGTATCAATTTTTTCCAAAAAGGGGTTTTTAAGGGGGGGCACAAAAAATGTGCCCCCCTACACAAATGCTCTCGTACATCCCTGGGTTTCCAGCGAAAAGGGTAAATCGTTTCGTGAAATTTTCGCATTTTTTGTGAAAAAAAAAATATTTTCACTGAAGATTTCGCATTTTTTGCATTTCGTTCTCTAGCAAAAAACGAAAATTTTCGCGAAACATGAAGTGCGAAAATTTCGAAAAAAAACAAATGCGAAAATTTTGGGGGGGAAATGCGAAAATTTTGCTAAAAAAATTTCAGGCCCCCCTAAAAATTTAACAAAAAGTAGTCAATTCCTATTTCTTATTTGTTCAAAAAAAATAAGTTTACAAACTCCATTTCTCCCGCTTTCTACCTGCAAACTCCAGTTCTCCTACTTTCTATCTGTAAACTCCAGATCTCAGCTTCTGTAAACTCTAGTTCTCACACTCTCTATATGTAAAACCCAGTTCTCGTACTTTCTATCTGTAGAATCTAGTTCTATCCTTCTTTCTATCAGTAAAGTCCAGTTCTCCTAGTCCTACTTTCTAGCTGTAAACTCTAATTCTCCTACTTTCTAACTGTAAACCTTAGTTATCCTACGTTCTATCTGTAAACTCCAATTCTCCTACTTTCTATCTGTAAACTCTAGTTCTTACACTTTCTATCTGTAAACTTTAGTTCTCCTACTTTCTCTCTGTAAACTCTAGTTCTTACACTTTCTATATGTAAACTTGCCGTTCTCCTACTTTCTATCTGTAAAACCACGTTCTATTCTATTTTATCTGTCAACTTCAGTTCTCGTATTTTCTATCTGTAAACTCCAATTCTCCCACTTTCTATTTGTAATGATTGTAATTTTACTTGCATATAAGTATCAAAGTGATTTATTCACTTTGTATTAGTAAGATGAGAAAACAATTTTAACGGGTATTTCAGGTCATTTATTCAATTCTATTTTTGTTGGGTTTTCCATCCCTTGATGCTTTTATTTCATTTCATTTTTTTCCTCAAGTGGGGGGGGGGGGCGGAACTATGGATGTGGCCCGATGGGCCCAGGCCCCCTCTAATCCGCCCCCGGGTCATGCCCCGGGTAGAATAGGAAGTCTTTTTTTTAATAGAGTTTGTTAATGAATGCTCTTTGGTTAATGCTAGAGATGAGTGGAAAATTTAAATCAAACCCAACTAAACCCCATTATTTTGTATACATCGTGCAGGGGGTTGTATAAGTATCTGAACTGAACAGGTGTGAACATTGAACAAGATGTTTGAGTGGGCGTATTGGGGAGGGGTCCGGTCGGTCTAAAAGGCAGGTAGTTTCTTGAGTTTCAGGGGTGCGTACACAAATCACTTATGATATTTCCAGAAGAAAAAAAAATATAGAAAAAAGCGTGAGTATTTGTATTCTTAAGTTTTGAGATCAATAAAAATACGATAGCTATTTACCCCTTTAGTTTTTGTTTAAGGGTCTCACTCTAGTCTACTCTCAGTAAGATCTGTGTAGTGTGTAATGTGTATACTGTGCACTGTGTAGTGTGTTATGTGTAGCCGGAATCATATGTGTTATAATATCTACGCAGTTGAAGTCAGACATTTTTATTATAGATTAATTTCATAATCATAATTTAACACATTCATATTTAAAATCATTCTGATTACAAATAACAGCTCTTTAAAGGGGGGGGGGGTCAAACAATAAAACTGTAATTCAGTGGGAAGAGCACCGTGCAAAACTTGTTAGCCAGGAGGGGGTGCAGGGGGCGGAGCCTCTCCGCATTTTTTAAGGAATTAGCATTAAAAGTGAGTATTTTAAGCGATCAAAATAGAAAATTACTCATAAAATATGTAAAATTATTACTTAAGAACTTTACTTAAAAATTTTTCACTCAGCCATCAGACAAGAAAAATATAGATATATTATAGAAGGATAGGATAGCAATTGGTAATTAGGTTATTAAAAAAAATTGTTATGTCAAATACTGAAATACTATAACGATGGTAACGTTTTTTTAAAACTAAAAACTAAAATGTTCTTCAATGTAAAGTCAAAAAAACTTATTCTGAAGATAGAAAAGAATTTTATTCTAAATTTTTTACAACAGATACTCTGGACCCCACCCCCTGGATCCGCGCCTGCTCGTTTTTACACCAAAATTATGAAAATGTTCTATGCACCCCTCTTCGGAAAAATCCTTGCTATGGGCCTGAAAACATTGATCACTTATGTCATTCATTGTTCATGAATGTTGACAAGTTTTAAAAATTCCGTTATATTTGTTGAGGCGAAATTATATGTTTTGTTTAGAACAGCGAATAATAACATAGAAGGGTGAACCGTTATGATATGCATTGTATTTTTTTTTTATTTTAAAATTTTGTTTTTATTACTCTATCCTAGTTAATTTTTTAAATTTTATATTTTTTACAGAAAATTTGCTTTGCTTTTGTTAGAAAATAATGGTGGTAACATCTTAAATACTGTTTTTTTTTCAATTATTTTATTTATTCAATTATTTTTATGTTAAAGAAAATGTTTTATCCATGAATGATATTTATATGTACGACCTAAATATATCATATGTTTTGATTTGATTTAATTTATTTGAATTGTCTTAAGATGGTATGTTCTGTAAAATCTCTAATTGATTTTAAAGAAGACCTCTTTTTTTGTTTAACAATAATCACTTAAAACTCCCTGTTTACAGCTTCTATAGCATCCTGTAGTGCCTTATCACATTTATATCGATAACAAGTTTCAAGTTTATGATTCTATTTACTGGCAAGGAGTGGTAACACTGTTAAAAGATAAAGTGAAAAACCAGAAATAGAAATGTCACGCTACCTAGTGCATGGGTATTATTTTTCTCCATTTTATACTATCTCCATTTTTTCAAACACAAATTATAAAGCTGGGGTTTTCTTTTTTGCACCTTCAAATTGGCTATAATTTTAAAATCATGTAAACTTTAAAATATCAAGAGAATAACTAGGAGACCAAAAGTCTATCTTTACTTCATTAATTCAGTAGTTTTACATTCACGTGTTATAGGATAAATAGTACAAAATTAGCTGTTAGCTGTTTAAGTATTTGATAAAGCTTGAAAACCATAACCCCATTCTCATTAATTCATTCATGGTTCTTCAGGAAAAAATGAAAATGTTAACTTTTGATATCTAAAAGCTGTAAAAAAGATAAACGGAATGGCTGGGAATGAAACAGATCTGTTTAAGTTAATAGGTTTCAGCTTGGAACCTCTTAAAGAACCTGAGGTGGACTTGCATCAAACCATCAAGGAATGTAGACTTTTATTCCCAATCACTGTTATGACAAATAATTTTTCTCCATTAGAAGTACATGCTAGTTTTTTCACTTATCATTGGCAATTAGCTAGGCTACTTTTATCCTAAATCTTTTCATTCAAACGATCACTTCTATGTTTGCAGACATTTTACAATTGTCATACTAGTGCCCGGCACTGACCGTGAATTTTAAAGACATTTTTTTTAAAATTTGAATTTTTATGAAAAAATGATTTCGAATTTTTTATAGCCTATGTTCCCCCCATGGTACCCATGGGTTCTTTTAAAAATGTCAGCCAATTTGGCATATAACATATAAATATATTATATATATATGAGCGAAGAGTTTTATTTTACTTATCATATTATTATTATATTTTTTTTTAATTCAAGCAGAGAATGATTTTAAAACCTGACTATTTTTATTTTCAAAAAACTTTCTAGTAATTTATTATTTTTAGGCTATCTGTTTAGTATCTAGCATTTTCTTCCTTGTAGCCTCGTTTATTTTCAATCTCGCCGTCATACTCAACATTTGTATCACTGGAAAAGCAAGGGTAAGCTATAACACACTATGCCGTTCTTCATGCAACCTTTTATATCTAATTAAAAATCTCAGCTTTTAACCTGCTTTAAAAGACGCGGATTTTTTTGTTTAAATTGATGCATTTTCAAAAATTATGAACATTTTTGCCGGGAAAAATTTGTCAACTTCCTTGTGGTCATGCGATGCGAGTTGCCAAACAAAAATTGGGCCCTATCAGTTTAGACGTTATAACGTTTATTGGATACTAACAAACAGACTGTATGACGAGTCAAATTCATATATACATAGATTCAAATACTCATTTTACGATTCTCAAAATTAGGTAGTTTTTTTAAATCGCAGATTTGATTTTACGATGAAGACAGCAAAATTAATTCAAAACAAACAAAAATTAAATAGTTCGATAAAGACATAAAAATTAAAAATAAACTGGTATATAAACCAGGGGGATGATATAGTTCTCTACCTGTGTGCTCAGTTTGCTCTACTGTACACTTACAACTGTTATATTGATATACTATATGGTTAGGCCAGAATCAACTTATAATAAACAAACATGCAGTACTCTCTCGGTATAGTTGATGGCCTATACAATTAGTAAAGGATTAGCGTACATCATCACTCTAAACACTATAACCTCGTTGATATTAACTTAGAAATTGACAATAATTATTATTTTTCTTTCAGGTAGCGTATTTCCGCTTGTTTCTACTATATTCCATCCTGCATTTTTGTTTTCAGGTGAATATTTTTACTTATAAGTTATTCATATATTCATTATATTCATTATATTCATTATATTCATTAAATTAAATTCTGTTATTTTTTAGTTGACAGTAGGGTATATTGATACAAAAGAAATACTCAGAGCTGCAGTTGAACCGTCAAAGGTAATTCTCTCGTTTTATCTTTTCTTTGAATTAATTTATATTAAAGAAAAAAGTTTAGTTTTCTTGGTAAGATTCGCCTCGCAATGATTGTAAGACCCCAATAACTTGCCCTAATTAACTTAACATTCTAACGAAATTTCGTAATTCTCTCTCTCTCTAAAAAACTATATTGTCTTTATTATTTACCATTTATATTTGTTTAAATTTAGGTTCTTGACTGGTTGGATAGATACTCACCGCTGATCAGTCGAAGCGTTCTTGGAATTTTGTTCCTTCTTGTATCAGCTTTGACTATTGAAAGGTATTGATTAATATGAAAATGAGGGGGGGGGGGAAACGTCATGTATGTGTGTCTGTACCAAGAGAGTGTGTGTAATTAATACCGAACCAAAAGCGTGTACTGAAGCAGGGGCGTAGTGGAGGTTAAGCCTAGGGGGGTGCAGTTTGGCGCGCGTCAGTGTGCCGAATTATTTTTTTGTGCACCCCCTAACGATTGATGTGCGAGCGGGGGAAGGCAGGCGGCCATGAGCCACCACTATTTCCCCTTCCGTACCACCACATTTGACTCTTCCGGGCAAAACTACTTTTTTAAATGGTATATTTAGGGCCTTTAAAATTTAGCTTATTAGCTCCAGGAGTAGCTGAGGTTTAGCTTATTAGCTCACGGAGTAGCTGAGGTTTAGCTTATTAGCTCCAGGAATAGCTGATTGTAGGACGAAGGAATAGTAAACTTGTAGATAAGAAGTTTAAGCTTGAGATTGTCATCCTCGTCCAATTCTTGAGCTGTTTCTGACCAGGAGGCTGTGTTTTCGGCCATGGTTCTTTTGTTGTCTGGGGTCACCACTTTAGAAGTACATTTATTGCTTCTAGTTGTAAATACATGTTAAATAAATAGTGTATAAAAGGAGAGGAAGTTGAGAAGGTCTTCTCCGGTTCCAGGGTCCGACACAACTGATTTGCGGATTTCATAATCCTCTTTCAGGGATTTCATATTCTCTACAGTATGAGAATTTTTTTCATCTACAATATTTTTTTTCTAATCGATTGAAATCTTTTGTAGTCTCATTTAATTTATGTTATTTCTTTTAATCTCCTCGTTTAATGTTTACTCCCATAAAATATAATAAATGGAATACAGGGAATACATGGAAAACAGAGAATACAGAGAATACAGGAAGTACAGAATATTCAGAATATACAGAGAATACATGGAATACAGGGAATACATGAAAAACAGAGAATACAGAGAATACAGGAAATACAGGAAATACAGAATATACAGGGAATACATGGAATACAGGGAATTACGGGAATACAGAGAATACAGGAAATACAGAATAAGGAATGCAGGGAAAACAGGGAACGCAGGGAATACAGAATATACATGGAATACAGGGAATACATGGAATATTATAATTAAATTCAACATTTTATTAAGCATGACAAGGACGTACAATTATTTCCAAAGTATTTTCTGAAATCGAAATTATAAAAGGAGTTCTTTTTTTACCCTTGACCGTTTTCAAGACAATGTCAGGTTTTCCATTTTCGAACATATCCTGAATTTGAATCATTGATTTACAAAATAAATCACAAAAAATAAAAATGATCGATGAAGATAAATTAACTGCTTGCTGAATTATATCTATAATTTAAGTTTCCACATTTTATTTGTTATATGAGAGAATAAAGCTGATTTCATTTACTGCATTTCTATAGTTAAATCTACATTGTAAGAATAAAATGATATTAATATTTTGATTTCTCAATGCTGTAATGTTTCTTTAATGATAAAAGAACAATACGTTTTAATTTTATATTTTGTTTATATTTTACCTTATCAAAAATCTTGTTTTGTGACGTAAGTGCGTAAATACTTGAAAATTGTCATTGATATGAATTCAAGTAATTGTCTCAAAACCAGAATATGTTTCTAAAACGTGACATGAGCTGAAATCCGGTCATTATTTCAAAATAGGGATATGTTCAAAAATTAAAACAAGAATCATCAAAAACTAATTCTCACGCCTTATTTTTAGTTTAACGTTGACATTTCTTGTTTTAATAAATAGTTTTGGCCATTTTCAATAAATGTATGGTGTAGTTTTGCTCGGGTTGGATTTAAAGAAATATACGCTTGAAAATGATAACTTTGCAGATTTGGCCCATTTCCAACACTCACTGTTAGAAATGGGCCAAGTTTTAGTATTGGAACTACTTTCCCTGAATGGATATATTATAAACTCTTTTTTCCGCGGCATTTGATCCTAAATATGTTGAGAATACGAAATTATATAAAAACTCTTGCTATGTGGTTCATATATCTGGGATTGGCTGTAGTATATCCAGAAGTAAGTTGCCTAAAATATAATGTAAAAATATTTATCAAGAAGAGAAAATGGTATAAAACATGCATATTTCTACAGTTTTTACATCTTAAGCAGAAGCTCCTTTTGTTAGTCTTTTAAGAAGTATTTAATATTTATTTATTTGGCAAACAAAAGAGAAAAGATAGTATTTCTGAAAATTTGGAAGTCAAAGCTTTAAGGTTAACCAAAAACTATTCAAATTTAATGACAACCAGAGAAACTTTGGGTTTAGTCTTTAAAGTAGTTTTTTAAAAGGTATTTATCATGTGTAAATTAATTAGCGAAAAAAAGCAATACATAAACACTGAGGAGAACCTTAGGAGAGCTAGGTATGAAAATTAACCATGCAGTTCCCGTGCAATCGTCTCTGAAGTCTCTACCTTTAAGGGTAACCCTGTAAAATAAAGTTTGGGGCTCAAGCTCTGTAAAATAT